TAGCCCCCTCAAGCCAATGTCTCCACGCTTTCAGAGCTTCGACCACAGCCAACAGCTCCCGGTCCCCCACATCATAGTAGCGCTCCGCCGGGCTGAGCTTCTTCGAAAAGAAGGCACAGGGGCGGAGTTTAGGTGGCGTACCTGAGCGCTGAGACAGTACAGCGCCTATTCCAGCCTCGGACGCGTCCACCTCAACCGTGAAGGCTAAAGAGGGGTCCGGATGAGCCAGCACTGGAGCCGAGGTAAACAGGTTTTTCAGACGACTAAAAGCCCTGTCCGCCTCCGCTGACCACCGCAGACGCACCGGCCCCCCCTTCAGTAACGAGGTAATGGGAAATGCTACCTGACCAAAGTCCCGGATAAATCTCCGGTAGTAATTAGCAAAACCCAAAAAATCGCTGCACCTCCTTTACCGTGGTTGGAGTCGCCCAATTACGCACGGCCGAAATGAGGTCACTCTCCATCCTCACCCCTGACGCGGACATATGGTACCCCAAGAAAGAGATGGACTCCTGGAAGAACAGGCATTTCTCTGCCTTAGCATACAGGTCATGCTCCAACAGTCTTCCAAGCACCTTACGCACCAGGGACACATGCTCGGCCCGTGTAGCGGAGTATATAACTGACTCCATCGTGGTGCGTGTTTCTGTCACGATGTCAGTGTATGCGGTAGACTGAAGTCAGGCGCAGGACACAGAACTTTACTAATACACGTAAAGAAACAAGAAGCCTCCACGCAGGGAGGAATAAACCCGCTCACCAACGACATCAGCGAACAAACAACAAACACACACAGAACACAATGGGAGCCACAGGGTTAAATAGGGGCGGAGTAATCACAAGATGGGCAACAGGTGTGAAACAATCTGGCACAACAGGTAGAACATAGAAACATATAACATAGATCGGCAGCAGCTAGTACTCCGGTGACGACGAACAACGAACCCTGCCCGAGCAAGGAGGAGGGACAGCCTCGGCAGAATCCGTGACACTATGTGACTTGTTAAGCAGGTTACTTCTCCTGAACTTATTTAGGCTTGCCATATCAAAGGGGTTGAATACTTATTGAATCAAGACATTTCTGCTTTTTATTTTTAATGTATTTGTAAAAATGTCGAAAAACATAATTCCACTTTGACATTATGGGGTATTGTGTGTAGGCCAGTAAACATTTTGTAAATTCAGGCTGTAAAATGACAAAATGTGGAAAAAGTGAAGGTGTTTGAATACTTTCTGAAGGCACCTGATTGATTTGTTTGTATTATGAAGGCTGAATATATAATACATGCCTTTATGTTGCAGGCATATTGTAGTCATCATGATATTAACAAAAAATGTATTATATACAGTCGTGGTCAAAAGTTTTGAGAATGACACAATATTGGTCTTCACAAAGTTCGCTGCTTCAGTGTTATGAGATATTTTTGTCAGATGTTACTATGGTATACTGAAGTATAATTAGAAGCATTCCATAAGTGTCAAAAGCTTTTATTGACAATTACATTAAGTTTATGCAAAGAGTCAATATTTGCAGTGTTGACCCTTCTTTTTCAAGACCTCTGCAATCCGCCCTGGCATGCTGTCAATTAACTTCTGGGCCACATCCTGACTGATGGCAGCCCATTCTTGCATAATCAATGCTTGGAGTTTGTCAGAATTTGTGGGTTTTTGTTTGTCCACCCGCCTCTTGAGGATCGACCACAAGTTCTCAATGGATTATGGTCTGGGGAGTTTCCTGGCCATGGAACCAAAACGCAGATGTTTTTTTCCCCGAGCCACTTAGTTATCACTTTTGCCTTATGGCAAGGTGCTCCATCATGCTGGAAAAGGCATTGGTCGTCACCAAACTGTTCTTGGCTGGTTTGGTGAAGTTGCTCTCGGAGGATGTGTTGGTATCATTCTATATTCATGGCTGTGTTCTTAGGCAAAAATGTGAGTGAGCCCACTCCCTTGGCTGAGAAGCAACCCCACACATTAATGGTCTCAAGATGCTTTACTGTTGGCATGACACAGGACTGATGGTAGCGCTCCCCTTTTCTTCTCCGGACAAGGTGTTTTCCGGATGCCCCAAACAATCATAAAGGGGATTCATCAGAGAAAATGACTTTACCCCAGTCCTCAGCAGTCCAATCCCTGTACCTTTTGCAGAATATCAGTCTGTCCCTGATGTTTTTCCTGGAGAGAAGTGGCTTCTTTGCTGCCCTTCTTGACACCAGGCCATCCTCCAAAAGTATTTGCCTCACTGTGTGTGCAGATGCACTCGCACCTGCCTGCTGCCGTTCCTGAGCAAGCTCTGCACTGGTGGTGCCCGGATCCCACAGCTGAATCAACTTTAGGAGACGGTCCTGGCGCTTGCTGGACTTTCTTGGGCGCCCTGACGCCTTCTTCACAACAATTCAACCTCTCTCCTTGAAGTTCTTGATGATCCGATAAATGGTTGATTTAGGTGCAATCTTACTAGCAGCAATATCCTTGCCTGTGAAGCCCTTTTTGTGCAAAGCAATGATGACGGCATGTGTTTCCTTGCAGGTAACCATGGTTAACAGAGGAAGAACAATGATTTCAAGCACCACCCTCCTTTTAAAGCTTCCAGTCTGTTATTCTAACTCAATTACCAAGACAGAGTGATCTCCAGCCTTGTCCTCGTCAACACTCACACCTGTGTTAACGAGAGAATAACTGACATGATGGCAGCTGGTCCTTTTGTGGCAGGGTTGAAATGCAGTGGAATTTTTATTTGGGATTAAGTTCATTTTCATGGCAAAGAGGGACTTTGCAATTAATTGCAATTCATCTGATCACTCTTTATGACATTCTGGAGTATATGCAAATTGCCATCATCAAAACTGAGGCAGCAGTCTTTGTGAAAATTAGTATTTGTGTCATTCTCAAAACTTTTGACCACGACTGTACACTACATGACCAAAGGTACACTACCGTTCAAAAGTTTGGGGTCACTTAGAAATGTTCTTTTTTTTCGAAAGAAAAGCAAATTTTTTGTCCATTAAAATAACATCAAATTGATCAGAAATATAGTGTACAGAGGCCCATTATCAGCAACCATCAGTCCTGTGTTCCAATGGCACGTTGTGTTTGCTAATCTAAGTTTATCATTTTAAAATGCTAATTGATCATTAGAAAACCCTTTTACAATTATGTTAGCACAGCTGAAAACTGTTGTGCTGATTAAAGAAGCCTTCTTGAGAGTAGTTGAGTATCTGGAGCATCAGCAATTGTGGGTCTGTTTCTCAAACTAGACACTAATGTATTTGTCCTCTTGCTCAGTTGTGCACCAGGGCTTCCCACTCTGGTTAGAGCCAGTTTGCGCTGTTCTGTGAAGGGAGTAGTACACAGCGGTGTACGAGATCTTCAGTTTCTTGGCAATTTCTCGCATGGAATAGCCTTAATTTCTCAGAACAAGAATAGACTGATGAGTTTCAGAAGAAAGTTATTTGTTTCTGGCCATTTTGAGCCTGTAATCGAACCCACAATTGCTGATGCTCCAGATACTCAAGTCTCAAGAAGGCCAGTTTTCAGCTGTGCTAGCATAATTGCAAAAGGGTTTTCTAGTGATCAATTAGTCTTTTAAAATGATAAACTTAGATTAGCAAATACAACGTGCTATTGGAACACAGGACTGATGGTTGCTGATAATGGGCCTCTGTACGCATATGTATTCCATACAAAATCAGCTGTTTCCAGCTACAATAGCCATTTACAACATTAACGATGTCTACACTGTATTTCTGATTAACAAAATTGCTTTTCTTTCGAAAACAAGGACATTTCTAAGTGACCCCAAACTTTTGAATGGTAGTGTATGTGGACACCTGCTCGTCGAACATCTTATTCCAAAATGATGGGCATTAATATGGAGTTCGTCCCCCCTTTGCTACTATAACAGCCTCCACTCTTCTGGGAAGGCTTTCCACTAGATGTTGGAACATTACTGTGGGGACTTGCTTTCATTTAGCCACAATATCATTAGTGAGGTCGGGCACTGGTGTTGGGCGATTAGGCCTGGCTCGCAGTCGGCGTCCCAATTCATCCCAAAGGTGTTCGATAGGGTTGAGGTCAAGGCTCTGTGCAGGCCAGTCAAGTTCTTCCACACCGATCTCGACAAACCATTGTATACTGTAGCATTAAGATTTCCCTACACTGGAACTAAGGGGCCTAGCCCGAACCATGAAAAACAGCCCCAGACCATTATTCTTCCTCCACCAAACTTTACAGTTGGCACTATGCATTCGAGCAGGAAGCGTTCTCCTGGCATCCGCCAAACCCAGATTCGTCCGTCGGACTGTCAGATGGTGAAGCATGATTAATCACTCCAGAGAACGCGTTTCCACTGCTCCAGAGTCCAATGGCGTCGAGCATTGCTCGGCCATGGAAACCCATTTCATGAAGCTCCCGACAAACTGTTCTTGTGCTGACGTTGCTTCCAGAGGCAGTTTGGAACTCGGTAGTGAGTGTGACCGCGGACAGACGATTTGTACGCTCTTCAGCACTCGGCGGGCCCGTTCTGTGAGCTTTTGTGGCCTACCACTTCGCGGCTGAGCCGTTGTTGCTTCTAGATGTTTCCACTTCACAATAACAGCACTTACAGTTGACCGGGGCAGCTCTAGCGGGGCAGAAATTTGATGAACTGACTTGATGGAAAGGTGGCATCCTATGACGGTGCCACGTTGAAAGTCACTGAGCTCTTCAGTAAGGCCATTCTACTGCCAATGTCTATGGAGATTGCATGGCTGTGTGCTTGATTTTATACACCTATCAGCAACTGTTGTGGCTGAAATAGCTGAATCCACTAATGTACTTTTGTTTGAATGAATGAATGAACGCACAAATAAATGGACGAACAAATTAATTAACTTTAATAATTCAACTGGTGGTAGAGCCAGTCAGAGAGGTGAAAGTGACATCACTGACCTTTGTTTGTTTGTTTACTGTAGGGTTTTGGTAAACAAGTGGATGTGTCATACATTGGCAAGCATTACAACATGAGCAAATGCAAAGTGGACAACCAGTTCTACAGTGTGGAAGTAGGAGATTCCACCTTCACAGTTCTCAAACGCTACCAGAATCTAAAACCCATCGGTTCTGGAGCTCAGGGAATCGTCTGGTGAGTACTGGAATCCTCATTTTACACTCTTTGTAGTGTAGTGAATGAAAATGTACATTATAGAGGACAAATAAATTCATAACTTAATATTTGGTTGCTGTATAATGTGCTAGTAGATAGAGTTGTGTGGCTGGATGTTCGTTGCATTATGGTCTTTGCAAAGATTTATACTGTGTATCACGGTGACACATGTATTTGTATATGTATGTACAGTATGTGTGAGATAAAAACCATGAGTTTGATTAATGAAGAGTTATAGAAGAATACCAAATGGATGATTAAAGCTGCAAGCAGCAATGCTGGGGTTCAAGCTGTGGGCCCACTGTGCCACCATCAGGACAAATTGGGCACATCTCCCTAGGATGAGCTACTTCTGTAATTCTTACCATGCTTGCCAAATAGCAGAACTCAACATCAAAAAGATCATGCAATATGCCTTTGATATATTTTGGACGATTTGTAATGATGTTGACTACTTTAAGCGTCTTCTTCTCCAGAACCGCTGGACTGTTTAGCACCAGATTTGGTACATAGCATCTATGTACCCATGTATTTAAATGCACAATTTTCCAGGACTCAAGCTAAAACAATATGGCCGCTATGAGCCAATGAGCTTGCATGATTGTTTTTTCCTGTCCAACAGAGCCACCATGCGGCCAAACTGAACCGTAGTGGTCCTCTGTAGCTCAATTGGTAGAGCATGGCGCTTGTAACACCAGGGTAGTGGGTTCGATCCCCGGGACCACCCATACGTAAAAGTTTATGCGCACATGACTGTAAGTCGCTTTGGATAAAAGCATCTGCTAAATGGCATATTATTTATTATATACTTTACAGGTTAGCTAGACTCATATCCCTGAGCATGTGGGCCAAATTCCATCACTGAGTCAAACGGATCAAGAGATATAAACGTGCCCATAATAGCCCCACTGTGTTTATCTGAATGTGCTCGCATATGTTGAGTCTTGACAGTGTTTGGAACATGTGTAGCTCAGTTGGTAGAGCATGGCGCTTGCAACGCCAGGGTTGTGGGTTCGTTTCTCACGGGGGGCCAGTATGAAAATGTATGCACTCACTAACTGTAAGTCGCTCTGGATAAGAGCGTCTGCTAAATGACTAAAATGTAAATGTAAAATGTGTATCAAGTTTTGTTACAATACGAATATCTGTGTTTGACTTATATGCATTTATGTGCCAGGTCACGCCCATCTGAATGTTTAGTGGTCAGTTGTTTGAGATGCTAGCCTGGAAAATGTTGTGTTGTGAGAACTTGGTACAAAGTTCCATGTATCAAGTTTCGTGCAGATCGGTCATTCGGTGCCAGAGTAGTAGCATTTGAAGTGTTTTAAATAACATTTTAAATGGTAGAAAATTGATCATGGCAGACTTTATGGGTCACCAGCTTCGCTGCTTAACCCCTAATTAGCCGAAAAATAACCCGTTTGGGCATGATGTACACGTGTTTGTTTTTAGTTGACTGTGTTTTGTGTATATTGTGTATATTTATATTTGTCTGTGCAATATGCGTTTAATTTGTTTTATATTGTATTTGATTCTTTATGTGTTTTATAAAATTGTATATGCAGGGCTCCCTCATAAAAAAGAGGTACTGGTCTCAATGGTGACTCCCTGATTAAATAAAGGTAAATACTTCATAGGCACTCTGATGAATTCTAAAGCTCACTAGGAACTAGGAAGTCAGCTAATACACAATATAATTCACCTCACGACAGCTCTGTTAGAGGCTAAGAAACAATAGCCAATACTTCATTTGCTCTTCATTGGAAAAATAGTTTTCCGTTTTGACACTTTGTCAATGTCATTCTTCCCTGGTCTGTCTGGCCGCTGGAATCAGGGATGAGAGGGGATCTGGGCTTCTTTTAAAGTCTGCCTAGCCTTGTGCCTCAGCTGGGGTGACACTGGACATAACCTGCTCTCTCCCGTGCCCTCCTTTCCAAGGTGATTGTGTACATTTGAAAAGAGCTGGGACTGCCAATGTGAGGGTTGGGCGAGTTGGAGTTCTAAAATTACTAGAGCGGAATCCGAATCCCTATGACTTGGATGGGGAATCACATTCTAGGAATTCTATTGCTATGGATGGTACAGAGACAGAGAGGGCCAATCTAATTTGTCTGGTTCTTTTACAGAGTCACATCACATGGTTTCACATGACAACAGTATTAACTCTGCAAAAACACATAACTACCTACTATACAAAAAAATATATAGGCTGAAGTACTACAGTACAGCCTTGGGATTTTTGCATACTGTTGTCCTGTCTCCAGTCAGACTGCAAATAACAGAAATAAATCCATATCCTGAAATCAACATTACTATGCAGATTCAGGAGACGTTCCCCTGTATAACAAGACAATGTTGTGACCACGAGAGAGGGAGACATGGGCATGTATTCAAAGAGCATCTCAGAGTAGGAGTGCTGATCTAGGATCAGGTTCTCCCTGTCTATATCATCTTATTTATTATGTTCTAAAAGGCAAAACTGATTTTAGATCAGCACTCCTACTCTGAGACTCTTTGTGAATATGGCCCCTTGTTATACAGGGGAACGTCTCCTGAATCTTATTATACAGTATAAGAGTTTGCACTACGGTGTGGTTAAGACTATCCATGGTTGTAATCTTCCCCAGTCATTCAGATCTGTGTATTCCTTCCCTTTATGACCCACAGCCTGGTCAGAGAGCTTTCAGACAGAGATAGACTGTCACGCCCTGGCTCTGGGGACTCTTAAATGTTGAGCCAGGGTGTGTAGTGTGTATGTTTTGTTTTCTATGTGTTTCTTTCTAGATCGTTTATTTCTATGTTGGCCAGGGTGGTTCCCAATCAGAGACAGCTGTGGCTCGTTGTCTCTGATTGGGAACCATACTTAGGCAGCCTGTTTTGCACTTGTCATTTGTGGGATCTTGTTCCGGAGAGGTTTGTGTTTGTTAACCTTAGGACTTCACGTATCGTTTTGTTGTTCGTGTTTGAAGTACTCATTAAAAGATGTACGCATATTACGCTGCGCCTTGGTCTGCTTCATACGACGATCGTGACATAGACACCATCTTAGGACAGATGCATTAGCAGGTTGAGCTAGTGGTGATGATGTCACCCCATCCCTTACATCACATGGCTCTCAGAGTGACAGTGGCTTTCTAAGGTCCTTATTGGCTCCAAGCTTTCCATTAACATTATGCTTCTGTTTCCATGGCCACACCATCCATCCTGCACAGTTTATAGAAAGCTACAGTATACCTCCCAAGTGCTAACGTTACTATTTGACTTCATATTCACCACAAGGTTTCTAGCAATTGTTTTGAATGTCAATATAGAAATGAGGATAAATTAAAGAGATCTTAGAAAACTAGTAAATAGATTATTCCAAGATATAGTACAGAATATTCTCATTCAGTGAATTGTGTATTGCTGTTAGTTCATATGACGAACACACTGTAATTTCTGTTAGGTAGATCATATGATGAACACTAACGCTGTCAGATACATCTATTATTCCTCTGGAGGCCTGGTGCCAGAATAGTAATGTAACACTCTGGTTGATTGGAAATGAATTAGCTTTTGCTTCTGCTGTGGTGGGATTCTGTTGAGTCAGCATAGTATAATAACCTACACACACACACACACACACACACATGGAGTGACATTCAGTTGACACAAAGAAGCCCTCCTTAGAAATAGCTTCCTGTGACGAATGTTCCTTTGATCCCAGGGGAACGGTGACGGTACAGTAGGTCATTAAAGTTTCATTCTCTCTGGCTTTAAATAACCACAGTTGCGCCTTTACTCGGGAGAGGAGGACAGGTGTAGGGGTTTTTGTCAACACAACAGTTGTTAGGGTAACAGTTTTTTAAATCGTTTTGGTGCGATTTTCACCAGTATGTGGTACATTTTCATAACTCTTAGTGTAAAACTCAAAACAGATCATCAAAAAGACATTTGTTGCAAAACTCTAAGCACATTTTTAATTGACTAAGTACAACACACACAATTATACAGTACATTTTTCACCAAACTAAATCAGTGTTTCATTGCAATACATGTTCATATAAAGTAATTGCCTTTCACAATGCAATGCTCACAAAACTTTTAATATGATTCTCTTCACATTTGTTAAAATACATTTTACTATTACTTAATCTGACAGCTCTTAATTGATCATCGCTAAACCGTTTGGTAAACCTATAGATTGTAAACTGGTTTGTCTACTACAGATTCTGAGAACTACATAATGAAAATGAATGTCTATAAATTAGAAAGATATAAAGTATGATATACACTGAGTGTACAAGACATTAGGAACACCTTCCTAATATTGAGTTGCACCCTCTTTTGCCCTCAGAACAGCCTCAATTCGTCGGGGCATGGAAGGTGTCGAAAGCGTTCCACAGGAATGCTGGACCATGTTGACTCCAATGTTTCCCACAGTTGTGTCAAGTTTGCTGGCTGTCCTTCGGGTGGTGGGACATTCTTGATCAATTTAGATTTTTAGGCTTGATACAAACGGGAAACTGTTGAGAGTGAAAAAACCAGCAACGTTGCAGTTCTTGACACACTTTAACTGGTGCGCCTGGCACCTACTACCATACCCCATTCAAAGGCACTTAAATATTTTGTCTTGCCCATTCACCCTCTGAATGGCACACATACACAATCCATGTCTCAAGGCTTAAAACTCCTTCTTTAACCTGTCTCCTCCCCTTCATCTACACTGATTGAAGTGGATTTAACACGTGACATAAATAAGGAATCATAGCTTTCACCTGGATTCACCTGGTCAGTCTATGTCATGGAAAGAGCAGGTGTTCTTAATGTTTTGTATACTCTAATGTACTATTATGATTTTACTTTACAGTAAATTTAAACTGATATTGACAAGATCAGAGATGTACTGTATGTAACAAATGCATCCCCTGTACAGTAAACATGTATCCAAAATGAAGTTGCTGGCGTGGGGTTCACACTGCTTTACTAAAATTGCTTTGGCCAATACAGTACTTTAATACCGTAATACAGTATATGCCATTTACGTAGCAGACACTTTTATCCAAAGTGACAACAGTGAGTCCGCACATTTTTGTATGTGACCCCAGTGGGAATCGAAGCCACAACTCTGGTGTTGCAAGTGCCATACGATCTGAGTCACGTACAGGACCACTACAATACATAAGTACAATACAATACTGTAAAATACAATACATGACGGTTACAATACAGGTGAAAGATGTATCATTGCCATACCCGTGAGAGTACTACCCTCATTCAGGCCATGGATGAGACATGCAATGTCATCATTCCAGACCTATGTCAGGCTTGGATTCACCATGCAAAAAAGGTTTTTCCTCAGGTGCATGAACAATGGGGACATTTACTGCGATGTCGATGAGAACCTATGACCAAATGCTCAAGACAGGCTTGATGCAAACTAGCGCCTTCTAAATATTATGTTACTTTCATTTAATTTAATTTAAGTACAGTACACCTATAGAATGTTGTAATTATATCTAAACAATACATATATTTTTTGCATCAATGATTATGAAAGATGTCTTCAATGATCACACCTTTCATCACACATGGGATAGAAATTATGGTAATGTTCAGTCAATTTGAATGAGTAGCCTAATGTCAAAACAGTGTTATGTACTGTAATGTACAGTACTGTAGCATATCACATTAACATTTTTGCTATTGGATTAACTGGTTGTTAAAATAACTGAATTGAAAAGATACCATTATGTTGTGTTTTGTTGATTAAATCAATGTTCTCATGATATTTAACAGTAAACTTATATTTTTATTCAATGGTTGTGTGGTGAAAGATGTCTTCAAACAAAATGAATGCACAATAAAATGTTTTGAATATGAGAAATACCTTATTTACATAAGTATTCAGACCCTTTGCTATGAGACACGAAATTGAGGTCAGGTGCATCCTTTTTCCATTGATCATCCTTGAGATGTTTCCACAACTTGATTGGAGTTCACCTGTGGTAAATTCAATTGATTGGACATGATTTGGAAAGGCACACACCCGTCTATATAAAGTCCAACAGTTGACAGTGCATTTCAGAGCAAAAACCAAGCCATGAGATTGAAGGAATTGTCCGTAGGGCTCCGAGACAGGATTGTGTCGAGGCACAGATCTGGGGAAGGGTACCAAAACAAGATCCCCAAGAATACAGTAGCCTCCATCATTCTTAAATGGAAGAAGTTTGGAACCACCAAGACTCTTCCTAGAGCTGGCCGCCCGGGCAAACTGAGCAATCGGGGGAGAAGGGCCTTGGTCAGGGAGGTGACTAATAACCTGATTGTCACTCTGACAGAGCTCTAGAGTTCCTCTGTGGAGATGGCAGAACATTCCAGAATGACAACCATCACTGCAGCACTCCACCAATAAGGCCTTTGTGGTAGAGTGGCCAGACGGAAGCCACTCCTCAGTAAAATGCACATGACAGACCACTTGGAGTTTGCCAAAAGGCACCTAAAGACTCTCAGACCATGAGAAACAAGATTCTCTGGTCTGATGAAACCAAGATTGAACTCTTTGGCCTGAATGCCAAGCATCATGTCTGGAGGAAAACTGGCACCATCCCTACGGTGAAGCATGGTGGTTGCAGCATCATGCTGTGGGGATGTTTTTCAGCAGGGACTGGGAGACTAGTCAGGATCGAGGCAAAGTTCACCGTCCAACAGGACAACGACCCTAAGCACACAGCCAAGACAACGCATGAGTGGCTTCGGGACAAGTCTCTGAATGTCCTTGAGCAGCCCAGCCAGAGCCTGGACTTGAACCCGATCGAACATCTCTGGAGAGACCTGAAAATAGCTGTGCAGCAACGCTCCCCATCCAACCTGACAGAGCTTGAGAGGATCTGCAGATAAGAATGGGAGAATGGGAGAAGCTTGTAGTGTCATACCCAAGAAGACTCGAGGTTGTAATCACTGCCAAAGGTGCTTCAACAAAGTACTGTGTAAAGGGTCTGAATACTTATGTAAATGTTATTTCAGTTTCTTATTTTTAATACATTTGCAAAAATGTATAAAAAACTGTTTTTTCTTTGTCATTATGGGGAATTGTGTGTAGATTGATGACGAAACAATCTATTTAATCAATTTTAGAATAAGGCTGTAACCTAACAAAATGTGGAAAAAGTCAAGGGGTCTGAATACTTTCCGAAGGCACTGTACTTGTGAAAATAGCACCAAAGCTAATTGAAAAAAATAACAGTATTACAAAAAGCAGGTTATGATAAAGGTCAGGATATAGTAAGGCCTGGTAATATGATGGTAGTATCAGGAGCCTTGGGGTCAGGGGAACCATAACACTAGACTGATAGCTACAGTGAGGGAAAATAGTATTTGATCCCCTGCTGATTTTGTATGTTTGCCCACTGACAAAGAAATGATCAGTCTATAATAAATAATGGTAGGTTTATTTGAACAGTGAGAGACAGAATAACAACAACAAAATCCAGAAAAATGCATGTCAAAAATGTTATAAATTCATTTGCATTTTAATGAGGGAAATAAATATTTGACCCCCTCTCAATCAGAAAGATTTCTGGCTCCCAGGTGTCTTTTATACAGGTAATGAGCTGAGATTAGGAGCACACTTTTAAAGGGAGTGCTCCTAATTTCAGCTTGTTACCTGTATAAAAGACACCTGTCCACAGAAGCAATCAATCAATAAGATTCCAAACTCTCCACCATGGCCAAGAGCAAAGAGCTCTCCAAGGATGTCAGGGACAAGATTGTAGACCTACACAAGGCTGGAATGGGCTATAAGACTATCGCCAAGCAGCTTGGTGAGAAGGTGACAACAGTTTGTGTGATTATTCGCAAATGGAAGAAACAAAAGACCTGTCAATCTCCCTCGGCCTGGGGCTCCATGCAAGATCTCACCTCGTGGAGTTGCAATGATCATGAGAACGGTGAGGAATCAGCCCAGAGCTACACGGGAGGATCTTGTCAATGATCTCAAGGCAGCTGGGACCATAGTCACCAAGAAAACAATTGGTAACACACTACGCCGTGAAGGACTGAAATCCTGCAGCGCCCGCAAGGTCCCCCTGCTCAAGAAAGCACATATACAGGCCCGTCTGAACTTTGCCAATGAACATCTGAATGATTCAGAGGAGAACTGGGTGAAAGTGTTGTTGTCAGATGAGACCAAAATGGAGCTCTTTGGCATCAACTCAACTCGCCGTGTTTGGAGGAGGAGGAATGCTGCCTATGACCCCAAGAACACCATCCCCACCGTCAAACATGGAGGTGGAAACATTATGCTTTGGGGGTGTTTTTCTGCTAAGGGGACAGGACAACTTCACCACATCAAAGGGACGATGGATGGGGCCATGTACCGTCAAATCTTGGGTGAGAACCTCCTTCCCTCAGCCAGGGCATTGAAAATGGGTCGTGGATGGGTATTCCAGCATGACAATGACCCAAAACACACGGCCAAGGCAACAGAGGAGTGTCTCAAGAAGAAACACATTAAGGTCCTGGAGTGGCCTAGCCAGTCTCCAGACCTTAATCCCATAGAAAATCTGTGGAGGGAGCTGAAGGTTCGAGTTGCCAAACGTCAGCCTCGAAACCTTAATGACTTGGAGAAGATCTGCAAAGAGGAGTGGGACAAAATCCCTCCTGAGATGTGTGCAAACCTGGTGGCCAACTACAAGAAACGTCTGACCTCTGTGATTGCCAACTAAAAGGTTACCGACTGGTTACTAATTATTGGATGTTGTTAAAATGTGTGTGTGTATTGATTGCTAAATGGGAGTTGTAGCATCTTTCTTATGAAAACAATAGTCAGTCTACCCACACAGACAGTCTGTGTGTCCATCATGCTTCTGACCTATTCTCAAGGGTCATCTCATGGAGGCTTGTGGTTAAATCCCTCATAATCCTGAAATAGTGTTCAACATAGGTTGTTAAATTGCTGCTGTCTTTTTCAAGTGACCAGATGACATATGACTGATTATGAGATGTATTCATAATCATTATGAAACATAATCATGTGTGAACTACCTTTAGTAGTGGTTTCTTTGCAGCAATTTGACCATGAAGGCATGATTCACACAGTCCCCTCTGAACAGTTGATGTTGAGATGTGTCTGTGACTTGAACTCTGTGAAGCATTTATTTGGGCTGCAATTTCTGAGGCTGGTAACTCTAATGAACTTATCCTCTGCAGCAGAGGTAAATCTGTGTCTTCCATTCCTGTGGCGGTCCTCATGACAGCCCGTTTCATCATAGTGCTTGATGGTTTGCGCGGTTGCACATGAAGAAACTTAAAACGTTTTTGAAACTTTCCGTATTGACTGACCTTCATGTCTTAAAGTAATGATGGACTGTCGTTTCTCTTTGCTTATTTGAGCTGGTCTTGCCATAATATGGACTCGGTCTTTTACCAAATAGGGCTATCTTATGTATACCACCCCTACCTTGTCACAACACAACTGATTGGCTCAAATGCATTAAGAAGGAAAGAAATTCCACAAATTAACTTTTAACAAGGCACAACTGTTCTTGACATCATTTGGACTTGGTCTTTTACCAAATAGGGCTATCTACTGTGTACCTCCCTACCTTGTCACAACAAAACTGATTGGCTCAAATGCAATAATTCCACAAATTAACTTTTAAGAAGGAACACCTGTTAATTGAAATGCATTCCAGGTGACTACCTCATGAAGCTGGTTGAGAGAATGCCAAGACTGTGCAAAGCTGTCATCAAGGCAAAGGGTGGCTATTTGAAGAATCTCAAATATAAAATATATTTTGATTTGTTGAACACTTTTTTGGTTACTACATGATTCCATAAATGTAAATTTCATAGTTTTGATGTCTTCACAATTATTCTACAATGTACAAAATAGTAAAACATTAAGTGTGTATATATATATATATATATATATATATATATATATATATATATATATATACAGTGCCTTCTGAAATTATTCAGACCCCTTGACTTTTTCCACATTTTGTCAGATTACAGCCTTATTCTAAAATTCATAAAATTAAATGTCCTTCTGGAAGGTTCTCCCATCTCCACAGAGGAACTCTAGAGCTCTGTCAGAGTGACCATCGGGTTCTTGGTCACCTCCCTGACCAAGTCCCTTCTCCCCCGATTGCTCAGTTTGCCCAGAGGGAAGCTCTAGGAAGAGTCTTGGTGGTTCTAAACTTCTTATATTTAAGAATGATGGAGGCCACTGTGTTCTTGGGGACCTTCAATGCTGCAGAAATGTTTTGGTACCCTTCCCCAGATCTGTGCCTCGACACAATCATATCTCGGAGCTCTACGGACAATTCCTTCGACTTCATGGCTTGGTTTTTGTTCTGACATGCACTGTCAACTGTGGGACCTTATAGACAGTTGAAATCGGAAGGTTACATACACTTAGGTCGGAGTGATTAAAACTCGTTTTTCAACCACTCCACAAATTTCTTCTTAACAAACTATAGTTTTGGTAAGTCGGTTAGGACATCTACTTTGGTTAGGACATCTACTTTGTGCATGACACAAGTAATTCAACAATTAATCCAACAATTGTTTACAGACAGATTATTTCACTTATAATTCACTGTATCACAAATCCAGTGGGTCAGAAGTTTACATACACTAAGTTCACTGTGCCTTTAAACAGTTTTGGAAATTCCAGAAAATTATGTCATGGCTTTAGAAGCTTCTGATAGGCTAATTGACATAATTTTAGTCAATTGGAGGTGTACCTGTGGATGTATTTCAAGGCCTACCTTCAAACTCAGTGCCTCTTTGCTTGACATCATGGGAAAATCAAAAGAAATCAGCCAAGACCTCAGAAAAAAAATTGTAGACCTCCACAAGTCTGGTTCATCCTTGGGAGCAATTTCCAAACGCCTGAAGGTACCACGTTCATCTGTTCAAACAATAGTACGCAAATATAAACACCATGGGACCACGCAGATGTCATACCGCTCAGGAAGGATACGCGTTCTGTCTCGTAGAGATGAACGTACTTTGGTGCGAAAAGTGCAAATCAATCCCAGAACAACAGCAAAGGACCTTGTGAAGATGCTGGAGGAAACAGGTAAAAAAGTATCTATATCCACAGTAAAACAAGTCCTATATCGACATAACCTGAAAGGCTGCTCAGCAAGGAAGAAGCCACTGCTCCAAAACTGCCATAAAAAAGCCAGACTACGGTTTGCAACTGCACATGTGGACAAAGATCGTACTTTTTGGAGAAAAATCCTCTGGTCTGATGAAACAAAAATAGAACTGTTTGGCCATAATGACCATTGTTATGTTTGGAGGAAAAAGGGGGTCCTTGCAAGCCGAAGAACACCATCCCAACCGTGAAGCACGGGGGTGGCAGCATCATGCTGTGGGGGTGCTTTGCTGCAGAAGGGACTGGTGCACTTCACAAAATAGATGGCATCACGAGGAAGGACAATTATGTGGATATATTGAAGCAACATCTCAAGACATCAGTCACGAAGTTAATGCTTGGTCGCAAATGGGTCTTCCAAATGAACAATGACTCCAAGCGTACTTCCAAAGTTGTGGCAAAATGGCTTAAGGACAACAAAGTCAAGGTATTGGAGAGGCCATCACAAAGCCCTGACCTCAATCCTATAGAACATTTGTGGGCAGAACTTAAAAAGCATGTGCGAGCAAGGAGGCCTACAAACCTGACTCAGTTACACCAGCTTTGTCAGGAGGAATGGGCCAAAATTCACCCAAATTATTGTGGGAAGCTTGTGGAAGGCTTACCGAAACATTTGACCCAAGTTAAACAATTTAAAGTGCAGTCTCTGACTCACATCCTGTTTTCTCAAATAGAAACATAATGACTAGAATGGACAAAGCCCCCCATACCACAGTAAGTTGACTGGTACATCCCTGTGGTTCTAATTCAATGTTTTTGTCCTGTGTTCTCTGCAGCGCCGGGTACGATGCGGTCCTCGACAGAAACGTGGCCATCAAGAAGCTCAGCAGACCCTTTCAGAACCAGACCCATGCCAAGAGGGCATACAGGGAACTGGTGCTCATGAAATGTGTCAATCACAAAAACGTGAGATACAATGTCATGTCTCTATGGTTAAACAAATAACAAGATGATAGTCTAGCTGGTGTTTTGTGGTCTTCTATTGGCCCATTCTGTGGTGCTGATAGAGTGAGTCCCCTCCCCGTAAAGTGAGAGGAGTCTGTGATCAGAATGAATTCCTTTCCTGCCTGGGGCAATGAGAGTGAGTGAGTGAGTGAGTGAGTGAGTGAGTGAGTGAGTGAGTGAGTGAGTGAGTGAGAGAGAGAGATCCACTTTTCAATATGGCAATATGTTCACCCAGTTTTTTCTGTTATCTTTCTCTTTCAGATCATCAGTTTATTAAATGTTTTCACACCACAGAAATCACTAGAAGACTTCCAGGATGTGTAAGTACAGTAAACAACATTCAGAGAAAAAAATGAATAATTGTGAGATTATATTTACCTTATGGGGTGGCAGGTAGTTTAGTGGTTAAGAGCGTTGTGCCAGTAACCAAAAGGTCGCTGGTTCTAATCCCCGAGCCGACTAGGTGAAAAATCTGTCGATGTGCCCTTGAGCAAGGCACTTAACCCTAATTGCTCCTGTAAGTCGCTCTGGATAAGAGCGTCTGCTAAATGACTAAAAATAAAAAGACCATAAAACTGAAATATAACATTTACATAAGTATTCAGTACTTTGTTGAAGCGCCTTTGGCAGCGATTACAGCCTTGAGTCTTCTTGGGTATGACACTACAAGCTTGGCACACCTGTATTTGGGGACTTTCTCCCATTCTTCTCTGCAGATCCTCTCAAGCTCTGTCAGGTTGGATGGGGAGCGTTGCTGCACAGCTATTTTCAGGTCTCTCCAGAGATGTTCGATCTGGTTCAAGTCCGGGCTCTGGCTGGGCCACTCAAGGACATTCAGAGACTTGTCCCGAAGCCACTCCTGCGTTGTCTTGGCTGTGTGCTTAGGGTTGTTGTCCTGTTGGAAGGTGAACCTTCGCCTCAGTCTGAGGTCCTGAGCGCTCTGGAGCAGGTTTTCATCAAGGATTTCTCTGTACTTTGCTCCGTTCATCTTTGCCTCGATCCTGACTAGTCTCCCAGTTCCTGCCGCTGAAAAACATCCCCACAGCATGATGTTGCCACCACCATGCTTCACCGTAGGGATGGTGCCAGGTTTCCTTCAGACATGGCGCTTGGCATTCAGGCCAAAGAGTTCAATCTTGGTTTCATCAGACCAGAGAATCTTGTTTCTCATTGTCGGAGAGTCTTTAGGTGCCTTTTGGCAAACTCCAAGCAGGCTGTCATGTGCCTTTTACTGAGGAGTGGCTTCAGTCTGGCCACTCTACCATAAAGGCCTGATTGGTGGAATGCTGCAGAGATGGTTGTCCTTCTGGAAGGTTCTGGAACTCTAGAGCTCTGTCAGAGTGACCATCGGGTTCTTGATCACCTCCCTGACCAAGGCCCTTCTCCCCCGTTTGCTCAGTTTGCCCGGGCAGCCAGCTCTAGGAAGAGTCTTGGTGGTTCCAAACTTCTTCCATTTAAGAATGATGGAGGCCACTGCGTTCTTGGGAACCTTCAATGCAGCAGAAATGTTTTGGTACCCTTCCCCAGATCTGTGCCTCGGCACAATCCTGTCTCGGAGCTCTACTGACAATTCCTTCGACCTCACGGCTTGGTTTTTGCTCTAACATGCACTGTCAACTGTGGGACATTATATAGACGGGTGTGTGCCTTTCCAAATCATGTCCAATCAATTGAATTTACCACAGGTGGACTCCAATCAAGTTGTAGAAACATCTCAAGGATGATCAATGGAAACAGGATGCACCTGACCTCAATTTCGTGTCTCATAGCAAAGGGTCGGAATACTTATGAAAATAAGGTATTTCAGTTTTTTTTTATTTTATACATTTGCAAAAATAAATCTAAAAACCTGTTTTTCGCTTTGTCATTATGGGGTATCGTGAGTAGATTGCTGAGGATATATATATATATATATATATTTTTTTTTAATACATTTTAGAATAAGGCTCTAATGTAACAAAATGTGGGAAAAGTAAAGGGGTCCAATGGCACTGTACCTTCAAGACTCTTGTTAAAGTATTCTCAGTGTGAGAAAATAATCACTGAAAGTGATGTCAGTGAAAGTGATAGTAGTGTAGTGTAATTTGAAAGCTCAGGCTCTGTGTCTTTGTACTGAATGATTAGTGAATTTGTAGATTGATGATACTGCAGTGAATGGAAGGAAGCATGCTTGTCTAAGGAAGTTTACCTTCAATACATTTCCATTCATCAGTGTGCAAGGAATGGTGTGTCAATTATTGGAGTTTATTGCAAAATAAACAACATATGTGCATGAAATTAAAATGTATTACAACATTTTTAAAAAGTATGGGCTTTTCTATGTACAGTAAAATCATTTTTAAATATGTACCTGTATGTACATTTTTTGGGTACAGAAAATGGGAAATACACTTTCCAATTCAGTCAATTTTGTGTGTCAGGGCATTAAGATAAGATGACAAGATGCTCAATATGGTAACGAGCACAATGACGGTCATTAATCAATGTAAAACATAGAGTATGTAGATTCCCATTGATGCTCTGCAGAGTGGTGTCCATTGTGTTGAGAATAGATGTAAAGGGGAAAGAGAGGAGGAATGATAGAAGAGATGTGGTGAAGGGGTAGGGAGGAGAGTGGGAATCATAAATTAGAGTAGGGCCTCTTGGGTTGAAGCATCTCTTCTCTTTTATTAGACCTCTGTTCCAGTAAAAATTATCATAAGAGTTATGCCGAAGTGTAGGTTTATTAGAACTTCTCCTAGTGTTACCCTGTCTCTCTCTGGTGTTCAAAGGGTTTTCAGAAGCAAAGATCACAGTGACATTCTGGAGATTATTTTACTACAGCCATATTTTCCATTGAACATGCTTTTTAGTCTAGGCTTAATCTGTGTCCATAAATCCAGTCCTCAGTGCATTACCAGTTGTGAAAACATACTATAACTGTATATATCACCTTCCCAGGTACCTGGTGATGGAGCTGATGGATGCCAACCTGTGCCAGGTGATTCAGATGGAGCTAGACCATGAGAGAATGTCCTACCTGCTCTACCAGATGCTGTGTGGCATCAAACACCTGCACTCCGCTGGAATCATACACAGGGTGAGAAGGCCTGTGTGTGTGTAGTAAACATAACACATGCTCAACATTGCACTGCTCATAACCCAGTGGGCAGCGCTGGGGGAAATTACGTCATTGCAACCGGTTTTGCCTGCTGTGAAATGCCATCTGTGGACATTTAGAATAAAAATACTGTAGTAGCTAGCATCACTTGTTACATTTTTACCTCAATAATCCTCATCTCTTTGATGTTGCTTTCCCTCTGAAGGACCTGAAACCTAGCAATATAGTGGTGAAGTCTGATTGTACGCTGAAGATCCTAGACTTTGGCCTGGCCAGGACTGCAGGTACCAGTTTCATGATGACCCCGTACGTAGTGACACGGTACTACAGAGCTCCAGAGGTCATCCTGGGGATGGGGTACAAAGAGAACGGTAAGACAGGTTCGAGAATGTGTTCTAGTGTTCTAGTGTTCTAACACTGTAACATGCTTCTGCTAGTGTGTGTTCTAATACTGTAACACACCTCTGCTGGATGTGTTCTAACATTGTAACACACACTTGCACTAAAATCCAGGGTTGGGGTCAATTAATACCCATAACGCACTGACACCTCTGGTGACACAGAACACAAGCATATCTTCTTCTTTGTCACCTTATCTATTACTGAAGTGTGTGCCTTGAACACCTCATTTTATCCACTGTGTTTCGAATCAGAGTACCCTTTTGAAAATGAGATAAAGTTACTTCCGGTAGCTAACTCTAGCCTTCACTGCATGGATGAGGAAAATGAATGCGTAAATAGACCTTTATAGCTCTGTACTCTTTGTGTATTTGACTGGTAACCTTGGTGATTACTGAATAGCTGTATGGTTCACAGCATACTACCCTGCATCCCACTGCTGGCTTGCCTCTGAAGCTATGCAGGGTTGGTCCTGGTCGATCCCTGGATGGGAGATCAGATTCTACTGGAAGTGGTGTTGGAGGGCCAGTAGGAGGCACTCTTTCCTCTGGTTTAAAAAAAATATGCCACAGGGCAGTGATTGGGGACATTACCCTGTGTAAGGTGCTGTCTTTCGGATGGGATGTTAAACGGGAGTCCTGACTCTGTGGTCACTAAAGATCCCATGGCACTTATCGTAAGAGTAAGGGTGTTAACCCTGGTGTCCTGGCTAATTTCCCAATCTGGCCCTCATACAATCATGGCCACCTAATCATCCCCAGCTTCCAATTAGCTTATTCATCCTCTCCCATGTAATTATTCCCCAGGTCGTTGCTGTAAATGAGAATGTGTTCTCAGTCAACTTACCTGGTTAAATATAAAAACTAGACTAGACATAGGCCTGTAGGCAGAGAGAGCAGGCCATGGATTTCCTGCCACCAGCAAAGCCCCTGGAGTCTCGGACTACTTCTCTTTATTAGTGGAATAGTCATTTGTCTGCATGCTACCTCTCTTCTCTCGCACTAATTATTTCTTAGTCTGAATAACCAACCGCCACATTCAAATTACTATCTGTTTTCTGTCAGCTCTCTATCGACAAGGGTTCTTTCTCAATTCCTCGTTCCTCAATTCCTCGCACCCTCTATCATATCCTCGCCTCATTCTCAAAACGCATCGGAGGAGAACTTGAAGGTCAGAGGGGAGGGACCTTGGACCTCTAATTCATTTTTGAGAAAGAAGAGAGGAGAAAGGATGCGAGGAATTGAGGAAAGAGGAACTGAGAAAGAGCCTACGTTTTCTTTTCTAATGCTAACCTCTGACTTATCTCTCACTCTCTGTCTCTGTACCTGCAGTGGATATATGGTCGGTGGGGTGCATTATGGGAGAAATGGTGCGTCACAAAATCCTGTTCCCTGGCCGTGACTGTATCCTTATTCAGATAATGTAAATAATGACCGTTGATCTCGTTCAAAGAATAAGGGCGCCATTTTCCCCTCGCAAAGACAGCTGCGAACACACAGTAACATTTTAAATAAACGGGAGCTCCGATAAAGGATGACCTCACATACATTTTTCAAATAAAGTTACATAAATTGTGCTGCAGATTATAATTTCACTCGTTCCGTATATATTTAAAATCTTACAATGTGTTAGCTTACAGGGAAGGTGTCTTTGTTGAAGGAAAATGTTTCCCCAAGAGTTATGCATGTCGTGTTTGCAATCATGTTTGGATTGTACACTACATGACCAAAAGTATGTGGACACCTGCTCGTCGAACATCTCATTCCAAAATCATGGACATTAATATGGAGTTGGTCCCCCCTTTGCTGCTATAACAGCCGCCACTCTTCTGGGAAGGCTTTCCACTAAATGTTGGAACATTGCTGCAGGAACTTGCTTCCATTCAGCCACGAGCATTACTGAGGTCGGCACTGATGTTGGGCGATAGGCCTGGCTCGCACTCGGTGTTCCAATTCATCCCAAAGGTGTTCAATGGGGTTGAGGTTAGGGCTCTGTGCAGGCCAGTCAATTTCGTCCTCACTGATCTCGACAAACCATTTCTGTATGGACTTCGCTTTGTGCACGGGGGCATTGTCATGCTGAAACAGGAAAGGGCCTTCCCCAAACTGTTGCCACAAAGTTGGAAGCACAGAATCGTCTAGAATGTCATTGTGTGCTGTAGCGTTAAGATGTCCCTTCACTGGAACTAAGGGGCCTAGCCCTAACCATGAAAAACAGCCCTAGACCATTATTCCTCCTCTACCAAACTTTACAGTTGGCACTATGCATTCGGGCAGGTAGCGTTCTCCTGGCATCAGCCAAACCCAGATTCGTCCGTCGGACTGCCAGATGAATCGTGATTCATCACTCCAGAGAACACGTTTCCACTGCTCCAGAGTCCAGTGGCGGCAAGCTTTACACCAGTTTGGAACTCGGTAGTGAGTGTTGCAACCGAGGACAGATTTTTACGTGTTATGCGCTTCAGCACTAGGCGGTCCCGTTCTGTGAGCTTGTGTGGCCTACCACTTCGCGGCTGAGCCGTTGTTGCTCCTAGACGTTTCCACTTCACAATAACAGCACTAACAGTTGACCGGGGCAGCTCTAGCAGGGCAGAAATTTGACTAACTGACTTGTTGGAAAGGTGGCATCCTTTTTTTTATTTTTTTATACGCATTCGCATTTCGAAAATGTACTGCATGTTCGATCCAAGTCTACTATCGCCGTTGATATGGCCTGTTAGTGACTTTGCCACGTGAAAGGTAAACAAAAGAACAGGCAAATAGCCTAGGCTACAAGTGGATTCAGCATCAAGGACAGCGATCGGAATTCCTGTGATTTGACAGTTACATCCAACAGACGAAAGTGGAAGATCCATGTTTTTAACAAAATTATAAAGGAAAAACAATAAGCATTCTATTGTAATAACTTGATGTGCCTAAACAGATTCCCTACAGTCACTGACACCTTTCATTCAATGGGCATAATGAGTCCAAGCATTTCACAGAAGCTGCATGGACAAAAATAATGTCCAATATAAAGAAAAAACTGGAATGTCTGTTGACTGTTTAGCTGCTCGAGATATTTTAATAAAATATTGATTATATGCTATTGATTAGGCTACTGTGGGCCTCCGCTGGCAAAATCGATGCCATAACCAATTAAGTTACAGCTAAGAACAGCTTTTGGTGAGTCTTAAATATCACCAGTAGCGCTGCTTGAAATTGGCACATTGGTGCACGTTTTTAAGGACACAACTAAAATATTTCCACCCCTCCCTCCTCGGCACAAGCGAGCTGATATAAGACAGGTAAATTACCAATCCTGGCGCCTGGCTTTTACAAGTCGAAATTGCCAAAGACTGTACGTTTGACACTTGCGCCACCTTAACACCAGCCGAAAATAGAGGCCTATGACTCTCAGACTCTCTGAAGGTGAATCAAATCAATACGTGGCCTGTGCTCCTCTGTTAGGTACAAGGGTTTCCCTGTAGCTCTATTTTCTCTAACCAATCTTGCTACTGTACTGGCTGGCTTCATAACATCTCTAACAGCTCAAATAATATATTTAATAATGATATATCACCATTTCAATAATTCACGCTAAATTCAGTAACCCCTTAAAAAATGTTTTGTATTTTCCTGTTTATATAAATTAATTACTTGAAGTATGTGATGACAAAGCCATGGATCCATCATGGAAATAGAATTACTAATTATATTTCTATGGGAATCCATCCTGTATTGAACCTCTATTTCGGGCACCCCTTTGGCGGAATGAGACCTCCCTCACTCTGAATATTTATGCTTTTCTTAATTGGAATATTTCTGCCGCCGCGTGCGTCTGCCTGGAGTGTGTTGTATACACTGTGGGGTCAGACACCGTACGCCATGCCCCCCAGGTTACATATCCCAGCATGGCAGGGATGGCCCCCTGGGGCTAATGGGAGAGCAACGTCCTGATAATTAGCATTCTAGCTTTGAGGGTGCCTGTGTGTGTCTATAAGGGTGTCTGCCAGGGCAAAACAAGGATATTTGGTGGCTCTTAGACAATCATTACTCCATAAGTATTAATTTATTCAGCAACAGTGAATTTTCCTGAGTTGAACACCTTCAGAAACCTGTATTCATGCTGAAATGCAGAATGCATTGTAAGGCCAATGTGTCATCATCCTAACATGATAGTCAATGCCAATCAAGACGCCAGCAGTGAAATCTGGAAGTTGCGAGAACCTACAGTCCTCTTCTGCATGATTTATGCACTAGAGTGGCTTTACTGTGCTTTAAGAAAAGCTCTGTAAGGGCAGTGTGGCGTTAATCACATACTCTTGCTAGATCAGTGGTCACCAACCTTTTCTGAGTCATGATCACTTTCGCAGTCAAAAAGCAAGCTGAGATCTACCGCTCAGAGTAAAAAAAAAAAATATGATTTCATTTTTTAACATTAACCTAAGCTCTGTAGGAATGAGGTTTGTGCAGTAGGCCTAATACATTATCACAGCATATTGGTTATAGGCCTGGCCTGACAATATTGTTATTCTCAGACAATATTATATTTCAAAAGTCAAGCTTTGATAACAAAATAGATCAGTTGGTGTAGAACTTGCGAGGCACAGCTGCGCATAAATTGAAATAATTAGCTATTTCTTTTTTACTGCATCTGATGGTCATGGTGCTTTCAAGACAACCGGGAACTCAAAAAATAATGAAAAGGTCAAATCATGACGTCAGTGATCTTCAGGTCGGAGCTTTAGAAAGATGCCAGAGTTTCCGACTTGGAATTCCGAGTTGGATGACCGGTCGAAAACAAAACTCCCAGTTCTCAGTTGTCTTGAACGCACTGAAGGCGGATGTCGGAGATCTCCCAGTTCCCAGTTGTTTTGAACACATTTGACACGGCATTAGTCTCAGCGAAGGGAGGGAGAGAGCAGCAGAGGGTCCGCCTCTCACGGTCCCTGCTCTCTCATTCCTTTCCTCTGGTGAGACTGACCAGAGAGAGTGGACACCGTCTTCCACCTGATGGAGAAACTTGAGTTGCACCGCATCTGCATCTGCCTCATGCACAAATTCATGTTGTTCCTATGACCAGAGAAAGTGAAATATTCCTCAATATTATAATAGACAAGACGAGCTGCTAATAATAAAAATGCAGGGCTAACGATACACTTGGCTACTCATTCAATGCAGCGCGAGCGGAAGTAGGGAGAAGTGCATTTTATGTTTTGTAATAGTGTTGAATAAAAACAGTGTTCACAGTGCTTAATAAAAACTTAAACGTGAACTCACTCATAAAAACAGCAGTTATTTGCTGTATTCTTTGACATTCTCTCTCTGGTCATGGTTTTAAAAGTTATGAAATCTCAGGTAGGCTTGTATCAAACTTTGCTGTGGGTAGGGTCTTGGAAGCTGTAGGTACGGTGATTTGAGCTATTGGATTGGCCAGCGCAGTAGGCACACTTGATTTAGCCACAGATCTCCTGGTCCACCGGGTAGGCGGAGTTTGTCTTTTAAGACAAATTAAATGGTCCAAAATGTGAACACTTTGCCTACCCAGTTCGCATGGCTTCTGAATCAGGTGCACCTATTGCCCACAGCGCAACACAAATATATATATATATTTTTTCACAAGCCTTTATCGTTGGCGTTTCTACAGAAATGTTTGGCGATCGACTAGGAATGCCTTGATCGTGATCGACCGGTTGGTGACCACTGTGCTAGATAATAACTGACGAAGACAGCAGTGTCTTAAGTTTAACAGCCATTGCTGTGATATTGATGCGCACAACAATACACAAAACATAACATGTTTACAATTACATGACAGACAGGACTCACAAAGACGTGGCATTTTTTTGTATGTCTGCGTGCAGTGTGTGGTTGATGGAGTTTGTGTTACATGTGTCATATATGTATCTGCATGTCATGTATGCTGGGTGACTGGTATGGGACTGTGTCTGGCTGCAGTGGACATGTGGTCTGTGGGCTGCATCTTTGGAGAGGTGATAAGAGGGACAGTGCTGTTCCCAGGCACCGACCGTATCCTTGCCTCCTTGCCTCCTTCTGGTGCTGTCATCAACACTATACTGTACACTGCTAGAAGAACCAAATACTGTATAGGGTTAAATGGCTAGCGTCATATATGGCCCTTAAAACAGTTTTATATAGAACATTTGGAGAGGTATCCTTGCCTCCTTCTGTAGACTGTAACTAGTATCAATACATTGACACATTGGCTGTGCTACTAGTTCACCACAGCTAACTAGCTAGTGATTTCACATCGGCTACACGTACATCATTCTGGCCTTCTTCCATCCTTTACAATATATCAGGACTGTCATCGAGATGAGCAGTTTGAACACCATCATAAAAGCTGAACATTTTGAAAATAGCCTAAATTCATGATGAGGGATACTCATCTGTATAAAAAGCAAATGCTTTCTTTTGAAACACAAATTAACATATTTATCTATATGGAAATGTTTTAATTCCAGCTATTTAAAAAAAATCTAATTAGACAGCTAAACATCCATGTAGAATAATTTGAAGGAATGAAAGGCTCCTCTCACTGCATTGTGTAGATTGGACTCCTTTTCATGCATTGTGTAGATGTGATTCCCACAGTGTGATGTAGACAAAGAGGAAATGAAAACGGCGTTCCAGCAGGATGAGGTCATGTGTTTCTGGATGTCCTGGCTGGCTGGCACCCTCTTTGAACTGGCACCCCCCTGCGGAAGATGAAGAGATAAAAGACACAGACCCCCTCAGCCTGGTCACACACAAACACACACACCATCCTTTCCCCCTCTGTTCCTATCCCAAAATAGTGCTGATCATTCAAATCAAGTTTCAAGTTTATTTGCCATTTGTAATAAATTAAATGGAAATCGAGCTCTCCCAATAAAAACAGCATTAAAAACTGCAATCTAACACAAAATCACACCAATTGGCATCTGGAACTTTGTACAATACCAGTACAATAATATCCATATTCATAAAGCATTGGTTATACATTTGAGAGAACTAGGAACTGTTTCAATCTGCTATCTGCTAGTTTGAAAACCCACATTAAACACAAATGTAGTTACAACTAATTTAACCCAGCACTAGGGAACAGTTTAAATCTATTAAAGGGCTAGGAAACCAAGGAGGAAATATTCCCATCAGTGATGTGTTGGCTCCGCTCACTAGCACCGTGACTATGTCCCGAATGGCACCCTATTCCCTATATAGGGGACCTGGTCAAAAGTAGTGCACTATATAGGGAATAGGGTGCAATTTGGGGGCGGGGGGGTCTCTGACCAATAGTACATTCAGACAGGACTCTCTATACATTGTTCTGACACGTACATCTGGAGAGTCTTGCGTCAGTATAGAAGGTACTATACTAGTGTTTATTGTCGACAATGTAAGTATTTTATTATCTATTTAATTTGTTTATTTGTCAGAGACCATGCACAACACATTGCACCAGAGTTAGCTACATATCTCATTCCATTGGCAATCCCTCCCTACCAAGTTGACACCTTTTTTTGTAGTGATTCATAGGAGTACAAGGCATTGTTCATTTGTGAACCCACTCACAGTCCATACTGCCTGTCACGATCGTCATACATAGAGGAGGACCAAGGCGCAGCGTGTTGAGCGAACATACTTTAATTAGTTAAAGTGCACACACGATACAAAACAACAAAACGACTCGTAACGTCCTAGGTAACAATGACCAACTGGAACAAAAACCCACAAACACAAAGGGAAAACAGACAGTTTAAATATGGCTCCCAATCAGAGACAACCAGCCACAGCTGACACTCGTTGCCTCTGATTGGGAGTCACTCAGGCCAACAAAGAAACAGAAGAACTAGAACCCCCAACATAGAAATATAACACATAGAATGAACACACCCTGGCTCAACATATAGAGTCCCAGAGCCAGGGTGTGACAGTACCCCCCCCTAAAGGCGCGGACTGCGACCGCGCCTCCACTAGAACAAAACAGGGGAGGGCTGGGTGGGCATTCCTCCTCGGCGGCGGTTCTGGCTCCGGCCTTGCCCACCACCCTCCAATAAACCCCCCATAGCGCCCCTGGTCCGGTCTGGCCCCGCTGGCTGGAGCTGAACTGGACGTAGCAGGAGCGGTTAGCTTCAGCTCCGTAGTGGAGCAGTTGACCGGTACCTTACCAGGCACCGGTGACCCAGGCACGGGTTGTGCTGGACTGACGACGCGCACCCCTGGCTTGGTGCGTGGAGCCGGAACGGGCCGGACCGGGCTGACGACTCGCACTCCTGGCTTGGTGCGTGGAGTAGGAACGGGCCGAACCAGGCTGACGACTCGCACCCCTGGCTTGGTGCGTGGAGTAGGAACGGGCCGGACCAGGCTGACGACTCGCACCCCTGGCTTGGTGCGAGTGGCAGGAACAGGCCGGGCCGGGCTGGCGACGCGCACCGTAGACTTGGTGCGAGTGGCAGGAACAGGCCGGGCCGGGCTGACGATGCGCACCCCTGGCTTGGTGCGTGGAGCAGGAACAGGCCGGACCGGGCTGGCGACGCACACCGTAGGCTTGGTGCGTGGAGCAGGGACAGGCCGGACCGGGCTGGCGACGCACACCGTAGGCTTGGTGCGAGGAGCAGGGACAGGCCGGACTGGGCTGGCGACGCACACCGTAGGCTTGGTGCGAGGAGCAGGGACAGGCCGGACCGGGCTGGCGACGCACACCGTAGGCTTGGTGCGAGGAGCAGGGACAGGCCGGACCGGGCTGGCGACGCACACCGTAGGCTTGGTGCGTGGAGCAGGAACAGGCCGGACCGGGCTGGCGACGCACACCGTAGGCTTGGTGCGAGGAGCAGGGACAGGCCGGACCGGGCTGGCGACGCACACCGTAGGCTTGGTGCGTGGAGCAGGGACAGGCCGGACCGGGCTGGCGACGCACACCGTAGGCTTGGTGCGAGGAGCAGGGACAGGCCGGACCGGGCTGGCGACGCACACCGTAGGCTTGGTGCGTGGAGCAGGGACAGGCCGGACTGGGCTGGCGACGCACACCGTAGGCTTAGTGCGTGGAGCAGGGACAGGCCGGACCGTACTGGGGACACACACCACTGGCTCTATACCGGGATCTGGAACGGGCCGGACCGGACTGGTAACACACCCCAGTACCTCTCGCCGTGCCTCTAAACCTTCCTTCCCTTCCTTTACCAGTGACCCCCGTAACCTGGTGGCCCTCTGAATACGCCCCTTGTCTGCCTCCGTCAGCCCCGTCGTCCATGCCGTGTGCCCCCCCCTAAAAATTTTCTGGGGTTGCCTCTCGCCTGTCCGACGTTGACCCGTTTGGCGCCGCTGCTCCTCTCTCCGGCGCGCCTCCACCGTCTCTTCCCACGGACGCCGATCCATCCCGGCCTGTATCTCCTTCCATGTCCAGGCTGCCTGGTCCTGGACACGCTGCTTGGTCCTTGTATGGTGGGTTTTTCTGTCACGATCGTCATACATAGAGGAGGACCAAGGCGCAGCGTGTTGAGCGAACATACTTTAATTAGTTAAAGTGCACACACGATACAAAACGACTCGTAACGTCCTAGGTAACAATGACCAACTGGAACAAAAACCCACAAACACCAAGGGAAAACAGACAGTTTAAATATGGCTCCCAATCAGAGACAACCAGCCACAGCTGACACTCGTTGCCTCTGATTGGGAGTCACTCAGGCCAACAAAGAAACAGAAGAACTAGAACCCCCAACATAGAAATATAACACATAGAATGAACACACCCTGGCTCAACATATAGAGTCCCAGAGCCAGGGTGTGACACTGCCACTGCACAATATTGCACAATGTTGATCAACATCTGACTGTCAGAATAGAAAGAGATCTCTTTTTTTCTGCGATTGAACTGATTCAATATGGAAGAGAGAACTTGTTTGAGAAATGGCAGATTATAGAAAAGTTGTCTGATACTGATATGCTCATGTCCCTCCGCTTAGTGATATGTCCCAATGTGGCTCTTACGCATCTGCTTGTAGGACTATTGTAGGCCTATGCATGAATGATGAGTATTGGACAAACAGTACATTGTCCCCTTCAATGGTTAGTGATATATATTAAAGCCTATATTTTATTTATTTGAGACAGCCAGAGTGCTGTCCTGTCCAAGTTTGTTGTGTGTTTTCCTTAACCCCACCCCCTCTCAGATATCGACCAATGGAATAAGGTGATTGAGCAGCTGGGCACGCCCTCACCAGAGTTTATGAAGAAGCTGCAGCCCACTGTCCGTAGCTACGTAGACAACAGGCCCAAATACGCAGGCCTCACCTTCCCCAAACTCTTCCCCGACTGCCTCTTCCCTGCAGACTCAGAGCACAACAAACTCAAAGGTAAGTGAGACAATAAAGTATTCTATAGCCTAAACTTTCTGGTATTTCTAATTCTATGCTTATAGCCCTTAGAGTATGTGTGTGGAGGTTGTGTAGTTTGTTTATTTGTGTATGTACGTGTGTGTTGTAGGCCTACCTACAGAAGCAGAATCTCAATCAGTAATTATATGGCATGTACACTGTATGTCTCTGTGTGATAAAGGCAAAAATGTTTTATGTCTGTGCTCAATAGTAATCTCATAAAACAAGACTCGCTCAGAGGCAGTGTGGCTCGCGAGGGGCCAGCCTAGGTGAAGTAATATAGCTTCACTTAAATTGGTTGACTTTGATGGTATACCAATTGAGGTGTACATGTTTTTTTTATTATTATTGAGGTGTACAGTGGCTTGCGAAAGTATTCACCCCCCTTGGCATTTTTCCTATTTTGTTGCCTTACAACCTGGAATTGAAATGGATTTTTGGGGGGTTTGTATCATCTGATTTACACAACATGCCTACCACTTTGAAGATACAAAATATTTTTTCTTGTGAAACAAACAAGAAATAAGACAAAAAAACAGAACTTGAGCGTGCATAACTATTCACCCCCCCAAAGTCATTACAGCTGCAAGTGTCTTGGGGTATGTCTCTATAAGCTTGGCACATCTAGCCACTGGAATTTTTGCCCATTCTTCAAGGCAAAACTGCTCCAGCTCCTTCAAGTTGGATGGGTTCTGCTGGTGTACAGCAAAAGTCATACCACAGATTCTCAATTGGATTGAGGTCTGGGCTTTGACTAGGCCATTCCAAGACATTTAAATGTTTCCCCTTAAACCACTCAAGTGTTGCTTTAGCAGTATGCTTAGGGTCATTGTCCTGCTGGAAGGTGAACCTCCGTCCCAGTCTCAAATCTCTGGAAGACTGAAACAGGTTTCCCTCAAGAATTTCCCTGTATTTAGCGCCATCCATCATTCCTTCAATTCTGACCAGTTTCCCAGTGCCTGTCGATGGAAAAACATCCCCACAGCATGATGCTTCCACCTCCATGCTTCACTGTGGGGTTGGTGTTCTTGGGGTGATGAGCGGTGTTGGGTATGCGCCAGACATAGCTTTTTCCTTGATGGCCAAAAGGCTCAATTTTAGTCTCATCTGACCAGAGTACCTTCTTCCATATGTTTGGGTAGTCTCCCACATGCCTTTTGGCGAACACCAAACGTGTTTGCTTAATATTTGTCTTTAAGAAATGGCTTTTTCTGGCCACTCTTCCATAAAGCCCAGCTCTGTGGAGTGTAAGGCTTAAAGTGGTCCTATGGACAGATACTCCAATCTCCGCTGTGGAGCTTTGCAGCTCTTTCAGGGTTATCTTTGGTCTCTTTGGTGCCTCTCTGATTAATGTCCTCCTTGCCTGGTCCGTGAGTTTTGGTGGGTGGCCCTCTCTTGGCAGGTTTGTTGTGGTGCCATATTCTTTCCATTTTTTTATAATGGATTTAATGGTGCTCCGTGGGATGTTCAAAGTTTCTGATATTTTTTTATAACCCAACCTTGATCTGTACTTCTCCACAACTTTGTCCCTGACCTGTTTGGAGAGCTCCTTGGTCTTCATGGTGCCGCTTGCTTGGTGGTGCCCCTTGCTTAGTGGTGTTGCAGAATCTGGGGCCTTTCAGAACAGGTGCACACAGGTGGACTTTATGTAACTAGTTATGTGACTTCTGAAGGTAATTGGCTGCACCAGATCTTATTTAGGGGCTTCATAGCAAAGGTGGTGAATACATATGCACGCACCACTTTTCCGTTATTAATTTTTTTGATTTCTTTGAAACAAGTAATTTTTTTCATTTCACTTCACCAATTTGGACTATTTTATGTATGTCCATTACTTGAAATCCAAATAAAAATCCATTTAAATTACAGGTTGTAATGCAACAAAATAAGAAAAACGCCAAGGGGATTGAATACTTTTGCAAGGCACTATACAGTGGGGAAAAAAAGTATTTAGTCAGCCACCAATTGTGCAAGTTTTCCCACTTAAAAAGATGAGAGAGGCCTGTAATTTTCATCATAGGTACACGTCAACTATGACAGACAAATTGAGGAATTTATTTCTCCAGAAAATCACATTGTAGGATTTTTTATTAATTTATTTGCAAATTATGGTGGAAAATAAGTATTTGGTCATCTACAAACAAGCAAGATTTCTGGCTCTCACAGACCTGTAACTTCTTCTTTAAGAGGCTCCTCTGTCCTCCACTCGTTACCTGTATTAATGGCACCTGTTTGAACTTGTTATCAGTATAAAAGACACCTGTCCACAACCTCAAACAGTCACACTCCAAACTCCACTATGGCCAAGACCAAAGAGCTGTCAAAGGAAACCAGAAACAAAATTTTAGACCTGCACCAGGCTGGGAAGACTGAATCTGCAATAGGTAAGCAGCTTGGTTTGAAGAAATCAACTGTGGGAGCAATTATTAGGAAATGGAAGGCATACAAGACCACTGATAATCTCCCTCGATCTGGGGCTCCACGCAAGATCTCACCCCGTGGGGTCAAAATGATCACAAGAACGGTGAGCAAAAATCCCAGAACCACACGGGGGGGGACCTAGTGAATGACCTGCAGAGAGCTGGGACCAAAGTAACAAAGCCTACCATCAGTAACACACTACGCCGCCAGGGACTCAAATCCTGCAGTGCCAGACGTGTCCCCCTGCTTAAGCCAGTACATGTCCAGGCCCGTCCGAAGTTTGCTAGAGTGCATTTGGATGATCCAGAAGAGGATTGGGAGAATGTCATGTGGTCAGATGAAACCAAAATATAACTTTTTGGTAAAAACTCAACACGTCGTTTTTGGAGGACAAAGAATGCTGAGTTGCATCCAAAGAACACCATACCTAATGTGAAGCATGGGGGTGGAAACATCATACTTTGGGGCTGTTTTTCTGCAAAGAGACCAGGACGACTGATCCGTGTAAAGGAAAGAATGAATGGGGCCATGTATCGTGAGATTTTGAGTGAAAACCTCCTTCCATCAGCAAGGGCATTGAAGATTAAACGTGGCTGGGTCTTTCAGCATGACAATGATCCCAAACACACCGCCCGGGCAACGAAGGAGTGGCTTCGTAAGAAGCATTTCAAGGTCCTGGAGTGGCCTAGCCAGTCTCCAGATCTCAACCCCATAGAAAATCTTTGGAGGGAGTTGAAAGTCCGTGTTGCCCAGCGACAGCCCCAAAACATCACTGCTCTAGAGGAGATCTGCATGGAGGAATGGGCCAAAATACCAGCAACAGTGTGTGAAAACCTTGTGAAGACTTACAGAAAACGTTTGACCTGTGTCATTGCCAACAAAGGGTATATAACAAAGGATTGAGAAACTTTTGTTATTGACCAAATACTTATTTTCCACCATAATTTGCAAATAAATTCATTAAAAATCCTACAATGTGATTTTCTGGATTTTCTTTTCTCATTTTTTCTGTCATAGTTGACGTGTACCTATGATGAAAATTACAGGCCTCTCTCATCTTTTTAAGTGGGAGAACTTGCACAATTGGTGGCTGACTAAATACTTTTTTTCCCCACTGTACATGTATTTTTTATTTTTCAGAAATCAAGAAAAGTTTACTCGCCTGCTTACATTTTTCATTTGAACAGGGATAACTATCAGCCACCCAAAGAGTGGCTGATTACATTACTATTGAAGCAGGAGGCAAATGGTCAATATAAAAGCCATGTACACCTCAAAAACTGGAGACTGCTCACTTTATTGTGCTGTGATACCCATATTCTATCAAAAATGCACTTAGAATGAAGAAATTAATAAGTAGAATTAACCAAAGTCAGCAATCTGGCTACATTAGTGACAATATTCATTATTTTCTTGAAACTATTGAACATTATGAAAAGGAAGAAAAGGCAGGTTTGATGTTTATTGCAGCTTTTGAGAAGGCTTTTGGTAAGATAAAATTGGATTTCATTTATGGATGCCTTCAGTATTTTAGTAGTTTATTCAATGGTTTGGGGTCTTCTATCCAAAACCAGTGAGTAAAGCAGTGAATAATGGGTATTTATCTGACAACTTTGAGTTATTTAGAGGGCCCCGACTATCGCCTTATTTATTCTTATTGGTTAGAGACATACCATTTTCATTTGGAAAACAACAAATTGGTTGCCTTCACACACAAATTCCACTCTTTCTGGGAGGAGCAGTTTGATACTCCCATCCCTTGAAAACAGGTTTTTGGCTTGATTTATAAAACAACATTAGACGCCATCTTCAGTTGAAGATATTGTAAAAATATCTGGCTACAAACAAGATGATGGTGCATCGAAGAATCACATTTGTGCCGTTTTTGTGGTGTGGAGTATTTGCAAAAGAAAATCTGGTATTGCCCCATAGTTGTTAACTTTGTGGTCCTCTGTAGCTCAGTTGGTAGAGCACGGCGCTTGTAACGCCAAGGTAGTGGGTTCGATCCCCGGGACCACCCATACACAAAAAATGTATGCACAAATGACTGTAAGTCGCTTTGGATAAAAGCGTCTGCTAAATGGCATATTATTATTATAACTTTATTTTCTATAATAGTTTTTTCAAAATAGTTTTTTTGTATTTTTACACCCTTTTTCTTCCCAATTTCGTGATATCCAATTGCTATCCAATTACGATCTTATCTCATCGCTGCAACTCCTCAATAGGCTCGGGAGAGGCGAAGGTCGAGTCATGCGTCCTACGAAACATGACCCTCCAAGCCGCGCTGCTTCTTAACACCCGCTCACTTGACCCGGGCAAATTGTGCACCGCCCTATGGGACTCTCGGTCACAGCTGGATCGAACCCCAGGCTGTAGTGACGCCTCAACACTGCGATGCAGTGACTTAGACCACTGCGCCACTCGGGAGTCCCGTAGTTGCTAACTTTTGGGTAAAAGTAAAACAGTGGTTACTCCCTGTTTTGTTATAATAATAAAATAATAAATAATTGGTCATTTAGCAGACGCTCTTATCCAGAGCGACTAGGGTTAAGTGCCTTGCTCAAGGGCACATCGACAGATTTTTCACCTAGTCGGCTCGGGGATTAGAACCAGCGACCTTTCGGTTACTGGCACAACGCTCTTAACCACTAAGCTACCTGCCGCCCACCACTAAGCTACCTGCCGTTATATCTCCACCAACAGTTATATTGGGTGACTTAAGGGATAGAAGCAACACGATATACAATCTCTTAATTCTGCTGGGGAAAGCTTTCCTTTTTTAAACTTCTAAATATCTGTCAAACACTTTTATACACTAGAAGGATTGATCAACAAAAAAAAATAATGGGAGGTCTCCAGATTTTACTGATAAGTGTGACCAAATAACAAGTCAAGAGAGATGGGCCTGATTTCATAGGCAAAGGAAATGTGCTCCTGATCGATAGTCATATGACAATTCTAGTTGTTGTTATTATTATATTTTTATATTTTTTTTATTGTGTTATTTTTTTAAATGTCCTTTTGTAGTTTGTTAGAGTAATTGCTTGTTTGTTTTTGTGTGTCCAACACACTGAGGTATTGGGCTGAAGAGGGTGGGGTGTTCTGGGGGAGGCGTGGCGGGTAGTCTGGGGGACCATGAACCTTCTCTATTGTGGGATGGTTAATGCAATGGCTGTCAATGGTATTACATACCTATGATTGTTTTTTAAATGAAGGAAATAAATACCATCAAAAATAAATATTTTAAATAATAAAAATAGTTTAGTCCTCAAAAAAAAATAATGAATTCAGAGGAAGATGTTTTAAACCAAGACATCATGCACTACATTTCCCTCTACATTTCCCAATAAATATTCCTACAGGAGGCTACCAGAGAAAATCCTTGTAAGGTAGCTTAGTGGGTAAGAGCGTTGTGCCAGTAACCGAAAGGTCGCTGGTTCTAATCCCCGAGCCGACTAGGTGAAAAATCTGTCGGTGCCCTTAAGCAAGGCACTTAACCCTAATTGCTCATGTAAGTCGCTCTGGATAAGAGCGTCTGCTAAGTGACTAAAATGTAAATGTAAATATATCCGAGGAAGATTCCCTAAATACAGTATAATGAAATCTGCTGCTCTGGTGTGTTGTTGTTTCCTGGTGCTGCTGCTAATGTTGTATGTTTGGGAAGGAAATTCACAGGTATCACTCTATATTCCTCATGCTGCCTGCTGCCAGCCTGATCTCTGCAGATACAAGTGGAAAGGGGTGATAAGAGGAATATACCCACTGAGTCATAGAGTCCTGTGTAGCTCAGTTGGTAGAGCATGGCGTTTGCAACGCCAGGGTTGTGGGTTCGATTCCCACGGGGGGCCAGTATGAAAATGTATGCACTCACTAACTGTAAGTCGCTCTGGATAAAATATAAAGAAATAGAGGCCAAATACTGGACACAGTAGAGTTGGAAGGAAGCGTAAAGTTAGAGCGATTTGTATTTGAGAGGGAGTGTGTTAGAGAGAGACTGTTTTAGAGCTACTGTGTTACAAAAACTGTGGTAAACCATTTTTACACTACTGAGCCCAGCTGACCTGTACTGTGCTGGCCTGGTTACACATCCACCATGGACAAAATTAAAATAACATATCTGAGCCAGCACATTACGGTTCAGGTCAGCACGATAATGTGAAAAGAATATGAGAGCACTGTGTACGTAACTGTCAGTGGAGGCTGCTGATGGGAGGATGGCTCATAATAAGGGCTGGAATGGAGTCAATGGAATGGCATCAAACACATCAAAGACGTGGTTTCCATGTGTTTGTTACCATTCCATTGACTCCATTCCAGCCATTATTATGAGCTGTCCTCCTCTCAGCAGCCTCCACTGGTATCTGTACTGTAGGCTGGAAATCCTCTCCGGCATAAAGCTAGTGGAGTCGTGGCCTTTGGTTACACTGCATGCTAAGAGAGCTGCTATACTAGAGATGTGAGTCGCTCAGAGGAGGGAGTGACTGATCGGCCATTTTGGAGATTGCTATTGCTGGCCTCTAGCTGCTGGCTTCTCTTCTGACATAAATTGGCATGTTAGTGTGTTGAACCATAATATTCCCTGAGTGTTAAGCCTTGACTGTGGTGCTATGGAAACAGAGGAGGGATAATCTTAAAGGCACTGTAAACTATTGTCTCACAGTTTGCCTGTGTCTGAAATGGCACCCTATTCCCTATATAGCACACTACCTTTGACCAGAGCCCTGGTCAAACGTAGTGCACTACATAGGGGATAAGGTGCCCTTTCGGACGCAGACTGTTTGATACAGTGTGTTATTGATGATTGATTTTCTTCCTCTCTCATGTCCTTTGCCTTGACTCTGACCCCTGTATGGAACCTGAATATGCTTCTCTCTCTGTCTCCACAGCTAGCCAGGCCAGAGATCTGTTGTCTAAGATGTTGATTATTGATCCAGCCAAGCGGATACAAGTGGACGAAGCCTTACAGCACCCCTACATCAACGTTTGGTACGACCCAGCCGAGGTGGAGGCGGTGAGTAGGAGGAGCATAGAATGAGAATGAAGGAATTAGAATGACATCATTCTATGAGGATGAATCTGTACCCAGCTATCACATAATGTTCTGAGAACAATATGTTTCTTAGAGCTTGGTGAGATGGTGGTTTTTATTTTGCATACAACCTTCCCACAATTGGTGCAGGATAGTTGTTTGGCTTTGGAAAATTCTCAGCACATTTAAGAACCTGAAAAAAATAAGTTATTTTCTTGATATTTCATTACTTTAACAGAATGTTTCCTAAAAGTTCAAACATGGTTACATTTCAGTTAAAATTTGGTAATGTTCTAGGAATGTTCTCCAACTGGTTTAATATTGGGAATGTTCTCAAAAGGTTCAGAACATTAAGAAACAACATTCTTCTGTGGGATTTGCTGTACTTCAGCATAGCGTTTCCTCCGTTTCCTCATGGTTCTATTTAAAGTCATGTTCTCAAATTGTTCCGAGAACATTAAGACAACGTTCCATAAAAAGCACAATAAAATGTTTACGTTCAGAGAACGTTCTAAGAATGTTATTTAAAAACATACATTCAGTTCTCAGAACGTGAAGAAAACTTTCCATAAAAAACACAAGAAAACTTTAGTAACGTTCAGAGAATGTTCTAAGAATGTTATTTAAAAACATTACATTCTTAGCATCAGCAAAACATATTGAAATATTCCATAACGTTTTTAGGAAGTTATTCAATTAATACAACTTCACAGGAAAACATTAAAGGAACCAGAGTAAATTGTTCTCAGAACATCCCTGCAACCTAAAAATAAAAGTTCCCAGAAAAGTCAAAATATTCACTTCTGTTTTCAGGAAAGGTATGACTTTTTTCCCACAACCAATGTGAAACCAAAAACATACATTCCCACAACTACCAAGGAACCAGATGTGCTAGCTGGGTAGCCAGAATGAGAGTGGCAGCCTTATAGATTAGTAGCCCTAGCTCAATCCTATAGCTCGTCGCCCGTTTAGTTAAGCCTGTTTCCATTTGCCTTGTGTTTGTATTAGAGGTGTGTAGATATATACTGTAGGTAATGGTTACTATGGGAACTGTCCGGAGAGAGTGCATTTTCTATATATATATATATTATTATTTTATTTTTTTTATTTTTTTTTACATCTCATAATTTTTTTTTTTTGTCAAACCTTTTATGGTCATCCCCTACCCACTTAGGCTTATAGAAACATGTACGCATGCTACTGACAATCATGAACTGTAGATACATCCCAGCAGGCTAAACTGGTTGTTTTGCCGGCGGGAATGTGCATGATTCCTCAAATAGGACACATACACACAGTGTCAATACTTTTGGAGAATACACTACATTATCCTCCAAGGGTTGTGAATGATGGGAGTCATGTGATAAGGACAGATCTTACTGGAACATAATAGACATAATAGCAGGCATTTATTGAGGTCCACTGGTTATGTGCTTATGCATTAAGTATAGTCATTCCCTCTTGAAGACCTTTGTCATTATGAGATAATGTGAGATTGGGAAAAAGCCATTTGCAGCCCGTCTCTTGCTTGATGAATTCTTTAGATGCAATACACACAAAGTATGCCTATTTGCCTATGCATAATGCAATACAGTATGAATGGCTTTCCCTGAACTGTAATACAGTGAGCATACATAGGACTGGGGTGGTGCATGTAAGCTAACCGTCTCTGTTAGCCTGGAACGACTTTATATGAAAGAAGTGTACAAATATACAGTATGAACAGCTCTCAACAAGATAAATTAATACAATGATCAAGTTTATTGTTACTTCCTTATTTGAGATCGAATCACACACCTTCACTATAATATCTTTGTTTGGAAATATGAATATGCGTTTTAAAGTATTATATGACTTTTAATGTGGGGAGAACAAGTATTTGATACACTGCCGATTTTGCAGGTTTTCCTACTTACAAAGCATGTAGAGGTCTGTAATTTTTATCATAGGTACACTTCAACTGTGAGAGACTGAATCTAAAACCAAAATCCAGAAAATCACATTTTATGATTTTTAAGTAATTAATTTGCATTTTATTGCATGACATAAGTATTTGATCACCTACCAACCAGTAGGAATTCCGGCTCTCACAGACCTGTTAGTTTTTCTTTAAGAAGCCCTCCTGTTCTCCACTCATTACCTGTATTAACTGCACCTGTTTGAACTCATTACCTGTATAAAAGACACCTGTCCACACACTCAATCAAACAGACTCCAACCTCTCCACAATGGCCAAAACCAGAGAGCTGTGTAAGGACATCAGGGATAAAATTGTAGACCTGCACAAGGCTGGGATGGGCTACAGGACAATAGGCAAGCAGCTTGGTGAGAAGGCAACAACTGTTGGCGCAATTATTAGAAAATGGAAGAAGTTCAAGATGACGGTCAATCATCCTCGGTCTGGGGCTCCATGCAAGATCTCACCTCGTGCGGCATCAATGATCATGAGGAAGGTGAGGGATCAGCCCAGAACTACACGGCAGGACCTGGTCAATGACCTGAAGAGAGCTGGGACTACAGTCTCAAAGAAAACCATTAGTAACACACTACGCCGTCATGGATTAAAATCCTGCAGCGCACGCAAGGTCCCCCTGCTCAAGCCAGCGCATGTCCAGGCCCGTCTGAAGTTTGCCAATGACCATCTGGATGATCCAGAGGAGGAATGGGAGAAGGTCATGTGGTCTGAGACAAAAATAGAGCTTTTTGGTCTAAACTCCACTCGCCGTGTTTGGAGGAAGAAGAAGGATGAGTACAACCCCAAGAACACCATCCCAACCGTGAAGCATGGAGGTGGAAACATCATTCTTTGGGGATGCTTTTCTGCAAAGGGGACAGGACGACTGCACCGTATTGAGGGGAGGATGGATGGGGCCATGTATTGCGAGATCTTGGCCAACAACCTCCTTCCCTCAGTAAGAGCATTGGAGATGGGTCGTGGCTGGGTCTTCCAGCATGACAACGACCCGAAACACACAGCCAGGGCAACTAAGGAGTGGCTCCGTAAGAAGCATCTCAAGGTCCTGGAGTGGCCAAGCCAGTCTCCAGACCTGAACCCAATAGAAAATATTTGGAGGGAGCTGAAAGTCCGTATTGCCCAGCGACAGCCCCGAAACCTGAAGGATCTGGAGAAGGTCTGTATGGAGGAGTGGGCCAAAATCCCTGCTGCAGTGTGTGCAAACCTGGTCAAGACCTACAGTGTCAAGAATGCTGTAGGTGGGTGTAGTGGTGGAATCAAGCGCAGGACACCGAAGTATAGTCCAAAAGACTTTAGTGCAATTCCCAACAAGGGAAAAATCGAACACACTGGCCCGAAGGCGAAACTACGCACGAAGGCGACAAAACAAAAGGCGCACAAACTTATAGGACACTAATTACACTAAACGAGAACAGGTGTCACAACAAACAGACAAAAGCAAACGAACATAGAAACATGCAACGGTGGCAGCTAGTATTCCGGAGACAACGAACGCCGAAGCCTGCCCGAACAAGGAAGAGAGGCAGCCTCGGCCGAAACCGTGACAGTACCCCTCCCTTGACGCGCGGCTCCAGACGTGCGCCGACTCCGGCCTCGGGGACGACCAGGAGGACGCGGAGCAGGGTGCGTCGGGTGCCCACGATGGAATTCCGTCAGGAGAGACGGGTCCAAAATGTCTCTCCTCGGCACCCAGCACCGTTCCTCCGGACCGTACCCCTCCCACTCCACTAGATATTGGAGACCCCCCATCCGACGTCTCGAATCCAAGATGGACCTCACGGAGTACGCCGGTGCCCCCTCGATGTCCAATGGGGGCGGAGGAGTCTCCCTGATCTCACTTTCTTGGAGTGGGCCAGCTACCACCGGCCTGAGAAGAGACACATGGAACGAGGGGTTAATACTTTTATATTCAACAGGTAGTTGTAATTTGTAACACACCTCGTTCAACCTTCTCAGGACTTTAAATGGCCCTACAAACCGCCGACCCAGTTTCCGACAGGGCAGGCGGAGGGGCAGGTTTCTGGTAGAGAGCCAGACTCGATCACCAGGTGCGTACACCGGTCCCTCACTGCGGTGGAGATCGGCGCTCGCCTTATGACGACGGAGGGCCCGCTGCAGGTGGACGTGTGCAGCGTTCCATGTCTCCTCCGAGCGCCGCGCCCACTCATCCACCGCAGGAGCCTCGATCTGGCTCTGCTGCCAAGGTGCCAGAACCGGCTGGTAACCTAACACACATTGGAAAGGGGTTAGGTTAGTGGAGGAATGGCGTAGGGAATTCTGGGCCATCTCGGCCCAGGGAACGTACCTTGCCCACTCCTCCGGCCGGTCCTGGCAGTATGTTCTAAGAAACCTACCCACATCCTGGTTCACGCGTTCCACCTGCCCATTACTCTCCGGGTGGTAACCCGAGGTGAGGCTCACCGAGACCCCCAACCGCTCCATAAAGGCTCTCCAGACCCTGGAGGTCAATTGGGGACCTCGATCAGACACAATATCCTCGGGTACCCCGTAGTGCCGGAACACATGGGGGAATAGTGCTTCGGCAGTTTGCAGGGCAGTAGGAAGGCCCGGCATGGGGAGCAAACGACAGGCCTTAGAAAACCGGTCCACAACGACCAGTATAGTGGTATTCCCCTGTGAAGGAGGAAGGTCAGTAAGGAAATCCACCGAGAGGTGGGACCATGGTCGTTGTGGAACGGGCAGGGGTAGTAACTTACCCCTAGGCAGATGTCTAGGCGCCTTACACTGGGCGCACACCGAGCAGGAGGAAACATAAACCCTCACATCCCTTGCCAACGTGGGCCACCAGTACTTGGCACTAAGACAGTGCACTGTCCGGCCGATACCAGGGTGTCCAGAGGAGGGTGACGTGTGAGCCCAATAGATCAATCGATCCCGAACCTCGAGCGGAACGTACTTCCGACCCTCCGGGCATTGCGGTGGACTAGGGTCGGTGCGTAACGCCCGCTCGAGCTCAGCATCGACCTCCCACACTACCGGTGCCACCAGACACGACTCCGGCAGTATGGGAGTGGGCTCCACGGACCTCTCCTCCGTGTCATATCGCCGAGACAGTGCATCTGCCTTACCGTTCTGTGACCCAGGGATGTACGTGATCTTAAATGTAAACCGGGTCAAAAACATATTCCATCTTGCCTGGCGAGGGTTCAGCCTCCTCGCTGCCCGGATGTACTCCAGGTTACGGTGGTCCGTCAAAATGAGGAAAGGGTGTTGAGCCCCCTCAAGCCAGTGCCTCCACACCTTTAGGGCCTGTACCACGGCTAACAGCTCCCTGTCCCCTACGTCATAGTTTCGCTCCGCCGGACTGAGCTTCTTGGAATAAAAAGCACAGGGGCGGAGTTTAGGTGGCGCGCCTGACCGTTGTGAAAGCACGGCTCCTATACCGGCCTCTGACGCGTCCACCTCTACCTGAAATGGCAAGGAGGGATCCGGATGCGCCAGCACCGGGGCCGAGGTAAACAGGTCCTTCAGCCTCCCAAACGCCCTGTCCGCCTCAGCAGACCACTGCAGACGCACCGGACCCCCCTTCAAAAGAGACGTGATGGGAGCTGCCACCTGTCCAAAACCCCGGATAAACCTCCGGTAGTAATTCGCAAACCCCAAAAACTGCTGCACCTCCTTCACAGTGGTTGGTGTTTGCCAATTACGCACGGCTGATACCCGGTCTACCTCCATCTTCACCCCTGACGCAGACAACTGATACCCCAAAAAGGAGACCGACTCCTGGAAAAACAGACACTTCTCTGCCTTCACATACAGGTCGTGCTCCACCAGCCTCCGCAACACTCTGCGCACCAGGGCCACATGCTCGACTCGGGTAGGCGAGTACACGAGAATGTCATCTATGTACACAACCACCCCCTGCCCCTGCATGTCCCTGAAGATCTCATCCACGAATGATTGGAAAACTGACGGAGCGTTCATCAACCCGTATGGCATGACAAGATACTCGTAATGGCCCGAGGTGGTACTAAAGGCTGTCTTCCATTCATCGCCCTTCCTGATGCGCACCAAGTTGTACGCGCTCCTGAGATCTAATTTAGTGAAGAAATGCGCCCCATGCAATGACTCAGTCATGGTCGCAATCAGCGGGAGTGGATAACTGTACTTCACCGTGATCTGATTGAGACCACGGTAATCAATGCACGGGCGTAAACCACCATCCTTTTTCTTCACAAAAAAGAAACTCGAGGACGCAGGGGAAGTGGAAGGCCGTATGTATCCTTGTCTCAGAGATTCGTCTATGTAAGTCTCCATAGCTTTCTTCTCCTCCTGAGACAGAGGATACACATGGCTCCGTGGGAGCGCAGCTCCTGCCTGGAGGTCTATCGCACAATCTCCCTGCCTATGGGGCGGCAACCGCGTCGCCCTCGACTTACTAAACGCAATAGCCAAATCCCCATACTCAGGGGGAACGTGCAATGCGGGCACCTGGTTTGGACTCTCCACCGAGGTAGCCCCTACGGAAACGCCCAAACATCGACCCACACACTGGGCAGACCACTCCATCAGAGCCCTCTCCTGCCACGAAATAGATGGGTTATGGGTACTCAACCAGGGCATGCCCAGCACCACCGGATACGCAGGCGAGTCGATCAGAAATAGCTGAATCATCTCCTGATGACCCCCCTGTGCACACATCCTAAGTGGCGCAGTGACCTCCCTGATCAAGCCCGCACCCAACGGACGGCTATCTAGGGCATGAACGGGGAAAGGGACGTCAACAGGGAGAAGGGGAATCCCTAAGGCTAAACAAAACTTCTTATCAACAAAATTCCCAGCCGCGCCTGAATCTACCAGCGCCTTATGCTGGGAATGAGGTGCTACCTGTGGAAAACGCACAGGTATACAGAAATGTGCAACAGAGAGCTCTGGGTGAGTGGGGCGCCTACTCACCTGGAAGGACTCCCCAGTGCGGGACCTGTCGTCCTCTCCCCTAGGAGGCCATCCCCAGCACCTAGCCGCGGTGTGTCCTCCCCGACCACAGTTGGTGCAGGAGATGGACCCCCTCGTAAGCCGACCCCTCCTCTCTCCAGCGCCAGCGCCCCCGAGCTCCATGGGGCACGGCTCGGAGGCGCTGGAGGGTGAAATGGACGGACCCCCCTCGGAACGTCCGCGGGTAGCTAGCAGGTTATCCAGCCTGATGGACATGTCGACCAACTGGTCGAACGAGAGGCTGGTGTCCCTACAGGCCAGCTCCCGACGGACGTCCTCGCGTAGACTACATCTGTAGTGATCGATGAGAGCCCGCTCATTCCACCCTGCATCCGCCGCTAGAATACGGAATTCTAGGGCGAACTCCTGGGCACTCCTCCTCCCCTGCCGGAGGAAGACCAGACGCTCCCCCGCCGCTTTCCCCTCCGGGGGATGGTCAAACACCGCCTTGAAGCGGCGGGAGAACTCGTCGTAGGTGATGGTGTCCGCGTCGATCCTCCTCCACTCTGCGTTGGCCCATTCCAACGCCTTCCCGGAAAGGCAGGAGATCAGGGCGGACACGCTCTCATGTCCCGAGGGCGCCGGGTGCACGGTGGCCAGGTACAGCTCCACCTGGAGAAGGAATCCCTGACACCCGGCCGCGGTCCCATCGTAGGCCCTCGGGAGCGAGAGTCGAACTCCTCTGGGTTCCGGAGCGGGAATGGGCAGACTTGCCGATGGTGCTGGCAGAGAGGATGGCGGTGGAGGAGTCCCCCAGCCTCGGATGGTGGTGATCACCTCCTGCAGTGCGGACCCCATCTGCAGGATCTGGTCACTCTGTTCACGGACCTTTTCCTCCAGCGTCGCCTGGGCTGCTGCGGCTCCTGCTGATTCCATTCTTGATGGTGTGTGATTCTGTCAAGAATGCTGTAGGTGGGTGTAGTGGTGGAATCAAGCGCAGGACACCGAAGTATAGTCCAAAAGACTTTAGTGCAATTCCCAACAAGGGAAAAATCGAACACACTGGCCCGAAGGCGAAACTACGCACGAAGGCGACAAAACAAAAGGCGCACAAACCATGTGCGTAAAACGCTCCAACACAGTGGAGTAAAGCTCAACCGAGCGAATAAGTAATATATATTACAAGCACAACACACGACAGAAAAACAATCACACACAACACCAGACAAACACAACGAGAAACTTATAGGACACTAATTACACTAAACGAGAACAGGTGTCACAACAAACAGACAAAAGCAAACGAACATAGAAACATGCAACGGTGGCAGCTAGTATTCCGGAGACAACGAACGCCGAAGCCTGCCCGAACAAGGAAGAGAGGCAGCCTCGGCCGAAACCGTGACATACAGGAAACATATGATCTCTGTAATTGGAAACGAAAGGTTTTTGTTTTAGATTCCGTCTCTCACAGTTGAAGTGTTCCTATGATAAAAAATTACAGACCTCTACATGCTTTGTAAGTAGGAAAACCTGCAATATCGGCAGTGTATCAAATACTTGTTCTTCCCACTGTATATATTTAATTTGTAGCATGTCTCATTCTTTTGTGAAAACATAATTTTAGTTTATCATAGCAAATATGACCAAAACGTGATACCCTACATGATGATGTTAGTTGATGTAGCATATATGATGATGTATAGATGTGATATACAGTATATATACTGTATATATATTACATTGGCCATCTATGGCATTACAATCTCCCTGAAACCAATGTTGTACTGTTTCTTTCCCCCCTCTCTATTGTCATTTCATGCTGATGAAGGCCAGGGATCTCGTCCAAATATCAATGGTAAATAAAAACCGTCCTACCTCAAGATAAATATATATCATACAACATATAGAGCATTGCAAACATGATATGACCAGGTATAACGGTACAAAACTGGACTAAATATATTTTTGGGTGGCTGTCCAAAACCCCATCTTCAGCTCTTTTTCAAAGACCTCTTAGAAAAAAAGCTGCTACCTTTTTGGTTCTAAGTGTACAGCATATAGAAAGTGTACAGCATATAGAGCATTACAAATATGATATGACCAAAGTTGCACCATCCGAAGAAACCCCTCAGTACATGTTCTATGAGGCACACACATAATTACTTATAAGGTAATTTATAATGAGTTATGATAAATTTATGGTGCATTATAACACTTCATTTTAAGTTGTTAGAACAACTCCTACAGATAGGATGTGGCAGGATGTATGTGTGCTGTGTCTGTGTGGCATTCTCCTCACTAATGGAAAGCAATATAGGCTGGCATGCCTATAGGATTTTAGACATAACAACACAATCAGATGGAAATATGGGAGGGGCCTGGACTGTAGGCTCTACAAGTTAAATATTATTAATAATATTATTATTATTACTACGTCCCCAGAGGAGGTGTTGTCCTTCTGCCTGTCAATCATCTAATCATAAAGGAAAACTAGAGTAGATTGTCTTAGTTGTGCAGAGATTTATTGTCGTGAAGGGGCATTGTAAATGATTGTAAGAAATATCTTCCTTTTCTTTCATTCTTCATCTCAATTCGGTAGCCTATTATCATCCCAACCCACCTCTGTATCTTACCATTCTTTGTTCTCATCATTATCACTTGTTCTGTGCATTGAATGGGTTTGGCTGTTCAAAAACATCATGCAACTGATGCTGAGAGTGTATGTTCTGTCCCCTCTCTGCTGATTTACAGAACTCTCATTCATTGTGTGTGTGTGTGTGTGTGTGTGTGTGTGCATGCTGCTACATCATATTTTGTAAAGATGGCTAGTGTTGCACATGTTTAGAGCTTGTGTCATTTAATTTATAGTGGAAACTTTAAAGTGTATTGTTTTTAAGGGATAATTTAAATGCTATCATGATACTGGCAGTTCTTAGATATCACGAATATCTTAGCCGTTGCTAAAACCAGGTTCAGCAGACAGTCAATTATTTTTCTGTTTCTCCCTCCAGCCTCCTCCTGCTATCTATGACAAACAACTGGATGAGAGAGAACACTCTATCGATGAATGGAAAGGTAAACATGTCATATTCCTTTATACATACTAATTATATTGCTATGGATGCCTATATTGGTGTATCTCTGAATAAGGTAGGATCTCTGAATAAAGGCAAACGTTTATGGTCTCTAGGGAGACACTTCCCAACTTGCATTCACTGCTGTTCTCTATTCTCTTGTGTATCTAGTTTCCTAGAAGATTGTCAACAATTCAGTTTGCTTATCTGTTTTCTATTTGTGTCTGTTTACTAACTTTGTATATTAACTTTTCCATTTACCTTGTAGCCTTCTCATGGTAATTAGACTTAGAACAGACAGCTAGAGCAGAGGAGAATTGGTTTCTGTGCTGGTATTTAATGTTTTTTTCATCCCCAACTGTTCTTTCTTGTCTCTCTCCTTCTCTCTCTCTCTCTCTCTCTCTCTCTCTCTCTCTCTCTCTCTCTCTCTCTCTCTCTCTCTCTCTCTCTCTCTCTCTCTCTCACTTTTCAGAACTAATCTACAAAGAGGTGATGAACTTTGAGGAGAGGACGAAGAACGGGGTAGTGAAGGGACAACCCTCTCCCTCAGGTACTCTCAGTGCATAACCTAGTCCCTCTGTAAGTTGATTTAATAATACAGTATAATCACTGGGTTCTTCTTGTAACAGAGAAATCCATCTGTGCATTGACCCATGCGTCTTTGTTTCCCATCTTGTTTTCCCGAGACAAATATAATTGATAGGCTACATAAGTGTTATATCTGTATGAATTTGTACATGAGTAATTATATCTGTATGTAAAAGTATCCATCTAAACTGTAGATTTGGTCATTTTTGACCAAACTTGCATGTTTTGTGTATGTACAATGATTAATCTGTATTTGAATGGTATTACTGTACGCAATTAAGTGTTTAGAAATACATATCTGCGACTCCACTCTATATTGAGTAACTGAGCAGTTTTAATGTGTATTTATTAAAAAAGGCTGTCCACCTAGGTCATGTAGGCTAGCTATGTATATGTATTTTCACATCTGTGTATGCACTGTCACATATCATGATTTAAGGCTGGGGTCCTTGGTCCATACTCTTCTAGATAGCACTAGAATTCATCTCATTTTCAGTCAAAATAAAATATTGTAGTGTTTACTGAAGCAGCAGCTGGGTGTCATTCACATGTATGGACACTGGGGAGCAGTGTGGAATCATGATGGCACAGTATTGGTAACATTATTATGGCGTCCGTCCAGAGTCTAGTGCAGCTGAGAGAGGAAAACAACTTGCCTCGGTCGTTCTCCTCAGCTATTTTCTGCAGAGAACGTTTTCATATTGTACCATGTCTCCTTATGTATGCTGTATTTGGGGATGGCTTGGGATCTACAGAGGGAACCCCTTGCATCTCTTGGACAGTGAGAAGGCTAAACTGCTACCTTGGGATTGATTTAATCCGCAGTGCGATACTGTAGCTCTCTCCCTCCCCCCCCTCTCTTTCTGTCCCTCATCCCTCTACCTCTCCCTCTCTCTGTCTCCCTCCCTCCCTAGCTCTCTGCAATTAAGAAGGTGGTTAGCCCTAGTGCTGAGGAGAGCAGGGAACAGACGCAGTGCAGCTGAAGAGCCCCAGACGGCAGTATTTCACAGCAGTAGCAGCACCAGGCTCTAAAGCACTGCCTTTAGCACCACTTGGCTCACATAGATGGATAGCGTTAGAGTAAACATGTTACTCTGTGATTGGAGACAATCAATGTTTGAACCATAAATTGTGATTTAGCCTCTATTTTGTTGGAGGTCAGATGAAATGTCTTCAACTGTCCTTTAACCACTCCTCTCCCACTGCTACAGACACATAAACAGGAGATTGATGGTCCGCCTGGAGGGCACGGTGTCTGTCCTTTTTACATATCACCGCACCATTGGCATGCGCTGGACCGAGAGGGATCGTTTTAGCAAAGCAAACTCGCTTTTTCTCTTAACTGGCTTAAGGTTACATTTACATTTTAGTAATTTAGCAGACGTTCTTATCCAGAGCGACTTACAGTAGTGAGAGCATACATTTTTCATACTTGTCCCCCATTGGGAATTGAACCCACAACCCTGGCGTTGCAAGTGCCATGCTCTACGAAGTGAGCCACACAAGACCCAAGTACAGTAGCTCTTCTGTATCTGGTCATCTTTCTAATTCTTCGCTGTCTGATACTTTGTCTAGGACATAGACTTGAGGTTTGCTAGCTACCTACGGTAGTTTAACGCCACAGATTCAACACATTACTTAGTACTTGGTGGCAAAACCCTTGTTTTCTTGTAGTTGGCCACCAGGTTTGCACACATCTCAGGAGGGATTTTGTCCCACTCCTCTTTGCAGATCTTCTCCAAGTCATTAAGGTTTCGAGGCTGACGTTTGGCAACTCGAACCTTCAGCTCCCTCCACAGATTTTCTATGGGATTAAGGTCTGGAGACTGGCTAGGCCACTCCAGGACCTTAATGTGCTTCTTCTTGAGCCACTCCTTTGTTGCCTTGGCCGTGTGTTTTGGGTCATTGTCATGCTGGAATACCCATCCACGACCAATTTTCAATGCCCTGGCTGAGGGAAGGAGGTTCTCACCCAAGATTTGACGGTACATGGCCCCGTCCATCGTCCCTTTGATGCGGTGAAGTTGTCCTGTTCCCTTAGCAGAAAAACACTCCCAAAGCATAATGTTTCCACCTCCATGTTTGACGGTGGGGATGGTGTTCTTGGGGTCATAGGCAGCATTCCTCCTCCTCCAAACATGGCGAGTTGAGTTGATGCCAAAGAGCTCCATTTTGGTCTCATCTGACCACAACACTTTCACCCAGTTCTCCTCTGAATCATTCAGATGTTCATTGGCAAACTTCAGACAGGCCTGTATATGTGCTTTCTTGAGCAGGGGGACCTTGCGGGCGCTGCAGGATTTCAGTCCTTCACGGCGTAGTGTGTTACCAATTGTTTTCTTGGTGACTATGGTCCCAGCTGCCTTGAGATCATTGACAAGATCCTCCCGTGTAGTTCTGGGCTGATTCCTCACCGTTCCCATGATCATTGAAACTCCACGAGGTGAGATCTTGCATGGAGCCCCAGGCCGAGGGAGATTGACAGTTATTTTGTGTTTCTTCCATTTGCGAATAATCGCACCAACTGTTGTCACCTTCTCACCAAGCTGCTTGGCGATGGTCTTGTAGCCCATTCCAGCCTTGTGTAGGACTACAATCTTGTCCCTGACATCCTTGGAGAGCTCTTTGGTCTTGGCCATGGTGGAGAGTTTGGAAACTGATTGATTGATTGTTTCGGTGGACAGGTGTCTTTTATACAGGTAACAAGCTGAGATTAGGAGCACTCCCTTTAAGAGTGTGCTCCTAATCTCAGCTCGTTACCTGTATAAAATACACCTGGGAGCCAGAAATCTTTCTGATTGAGAGGGGTTCAAATACTTATTTCCCTCATTAAAATGCAAAACAATTTATAACATTTTTGACATGCGTTTTTCTGGATTTTGTTATTGTTATTCTGTCTCTCACTGTTCAAATAAACCTACCATTAAAATTATAGACTGATCATTTCTTTGTCAGTGGGCAAACGTACAATATCAGCAGGGGATCAAATACTTTTTTCCCTCACTGTAGGTAGATAGGGAACCACATCATTAAATATAAAAATATTACAGTATTACATTCTTATTATTACACTAATATGATATTATTGTATTTAAGGAGGTAGCGGACAGAGGACCCCAGCCTTAACTCGCCTCTCGCCTGTCTGGTGACACACTGTGATGTGTTTGTATGTGGGGTTCTGGGTGTACTATTTGGTTGTGTCCAGTGTCTGTGTCGGGTTATGTGTCACAGTAAGGGTTGTGACTGACTGAGGCTGTCCAGTAGTGTCTGTGGCAGGGCTGGGGTCAATTCCATTTCAAGTCCAGTCAATTCAGAAAGCAAACAGAATTCCAATTCCACATTTTTCTAATTGAAAAGCATTGAAGAAAATTGTGGACTTCCATAATTGACTGGAATTGAAATGGAATTGACCCCAACCCTGGTCTGCGGGGCTCTTAGTTAGTTGTAACCCGGCTGTCTGTTGATTCCCTCAGCACAGGTGCAGCCGTGAACAGCAGTGGTGAGAGCCTCCCTTCCCCCTCCGTCAACGATATCTCCTCCATGTCCACCGACCAGACCCTGGCCTCAGACACCGACAGCAGCCTGGAGACCTCCACAGGACCCCTGGGGTGTTGCAGGTGACTAGCAGCCTGCCTGCGCAACCCAATGTTTTTCAGAAGGTGAAACACAATGTCCAAACAACCAACCAACCCACCGAAACCTGAAAAATAACAAAGATTATTTAAAATAAAAAAGTATCATATTAAAGGGATGTTTAAGAAAACGTAAAGAATCATGATTATGAAAGTTAAGCCTGCATTTTCATTCAAATAGAAACCACAAAAGTATAAGGAAAAAAACGGAAATATATATTTATGAACTTCTAGTTGCTTTTCTTATATCTCCTCCCCTATATGGCACCATAAAAAAAAACACGCTTAGACAGGCATCTTTCTGTCAAGTGTAAATTGACTGGCTGCTGGTAACCCAATACCTTGCAAGCGCCTGTGCTTCAGTCGATGTGGCAAGGTGGGCACTTTCCGTACATTACTGTACAGCAATATATAAACCTCCATTCACTTTCCCCTCTCCCCTATATGACGGTATTGCTATGTTTTAATAAACTCTAGTTTTGGTCCTTGGGGTTGTCTCCTGTGTGGTTGACAGATTGGTGTGTTTTTATGTGATTATTTCTGCAAGGGTTTGTGCTAGTGCTCGACACTGCATAGCACCCCCGTCTTTTGTAAATATCTAATTATGTACAGTTGCGAGCTAGGCACGCAGACAGACAGAGAGTGGGACTGATGGCCAGTACTGGAAGTTCTTCTATAGCACACCTTACCACATGACATCACCTCCTTGACCCCTGACCGTTGACCCCTAACCTTTCACCTTAGTTTGACCCCTTGCCTTTTAGTCATGCTGCATGATTACAAAAGATAACACTAATTATATGATGAATGACAACTATAGGTACTTTTGTTTATAATACCATTTAACGTAATGGAACTTTTCAACCGTAGTGGTGCAGAAACCCGTGGACAGGGGAGCTCTGGTTGATGATAGATATAAAAATATACATACAGTGTGTGATCTTCTGCAGGAGCAGGGCTGAGCAGGTGTGGGTTCAGTTCCATTTCAATTCAGTCAATTCTGAAAGTCAACTGAAATTCCAATTCCACATTTTTCTCATTGAAATGCATTTAGGAAAATTGTAATCAGAACTAGAATTCACTGAATTGAAATGTAAATTCACCCCAACCCTGTTGCTCAGCTGGAACCTTAAGTTCTCATAGCTGGTTTGTGCTTTTGTGAAATGAAATGATATCTCTTCTGACTGCATCCCTGCACCTCTCCATGGGCTGTAGACAGTCCCACGCCTTGCATGTAATTCCCAATGTCACCTAACCCCAACCAGGGAGGTCACTCACTCTGTTTCTGTGTCACTACTGTGGTGTGAAGGAGAGAAGTTCAGGAGACTGTCGCCTTATATGTGTGTGTTACTGTTGGGGGGGGTGTTTGTTCCTCAATCGCATCCATTTTAATTTACATTGAATGAGTACTACTGTAATGCTATATTTTGTCAAAAGGGAATCCGATGATAAACAGACTACCTATAAAACCAGTAATGTTACATATAATTCTTTACCGGAAGTTTATTTATTATTGATTTATTTATTATTTTCATAGACTGATTCAGAATAATGGGAAGTGCCTTGTTCGGAATGATGCAGTTTCCTCATCTTAGATATACAGTAATAACAACGACGTGTGGATTGAAATTAAGCTAAAGATTGACGGACCCCATTACTGAGACGCTGAGTTTAGGTATAATTTGAAGCAGAATCTTAAGTTGGTGTCTGTTAGGATTGCAATATTTATGGTAACCTTCCCAAAATTCCGGGGGTTTCCGAAAATCACAGTTGGAGGATTCCCAGTTGGAAGATTCCCTCACTGCTAATTCCCTCGTCCAACCGGGATTTCTGGAAAACCTGGAAATGTTTCGGAAAGTTACCAGACATTTTGAAACCCTAGTGTCTAGCCTGTCCTGTTCAATCTGTTTCCGCATGATGTCACTGACTGCACCGCTTGTCTGCACGTACTGTACATGCACATAGTCACCACTACTGACCAATGCCCATGTCCTCCCTATTGGAACTATACTACGACCATCAACATGTTATTGTTGCATCTTTGAATAACTAAATAATGTAGAATTGAAACCTACTTTTTAAACACAATGGACTTGTTATCAGATACAGTCATCATCATATAAATGTTCTTCTGACCTATATAGTTACCTAGCAACTGAGCAGAATACCTCCTAAGTTGTATGGTTTTGTTTTGTATCTGTAAATGTCTTATTTGATCAGTGTCCTTACATTTCAATAAAGGGATGAAATAATCACAGTTTTACTTTTGTTTGTATGAGATCCATACGTGGTAGTTTACTCTACTACACTTCTAGATTAAGCACAGTTTACGGAAACATTGGGAGAATGGTTGGGATAGCAGCAATGGGTCATGCTTATTCAAGATGTGTATTTGTCTTGTTATTATTACATTTAATTTCTTAAGGCATTCCTGCATGTTTGTTGCAAGCCAGTGCATTAGCAAAAAGGAATAACTTTCTTGCTTGCATGGACAATACCATATAAATACTGTAAATAGATAGTATGTCATAATTAATAAAAACCTATAGAAGTAATATTGATGGTCACGTTTCAATTAGAATTACTTTTAGATTACACCCTTATTTCTAATGTCTCCATACTGTAAGTAAGTGGGAAAGTACCTGTAAGTACTGTATACAGTACAGTGCAGTCATATACACTTCAAAGAGCTAAGCATACACTTTAAAAAGCTAATAAAGAGCTAAAAGGGGGTTCTGAGATGTATCCAGGATAGGGCTCGGCTTCCCGTTCACAGGCTCGAAGAAATGTTTTAGAACGGGGTGGAACTTTAACGTGTATATATTATTTTAAATATCAAGATCAATTATCAACATAATTTTCTTACCACTGGTTTATGCTGCCCTACAAAGGCAAAACCCAGTAACTACAAATTTTGTCAAAAATCTTTGATCTGTTGTAATGGCCAGGTATATTATCTGATTAATGATGTATTTCGTTTCCTGACACAAGAACAAGCCAGTTGATCAGAATATATCATGGAGTATCAGAAATTGCTTTCTGTCTAGACAGAAAAATACTTTGAAGTCAGATCTTGCAGTAAAAAAAATGACGTAGTTACCGCGTTTTGCCTTTGTAGGGCAGTATGGTGGGAATTAGTTCATACTACACACAAATCAGGCAGAAGCTTGATGTGCTGTTGTACATTTTCTACTGGATGTTTTTAACTATAAGAACCCACACGTTTGTCATTATTATTACTGAAGGGAAGTGGGTCCTTACTTGTTTTGAAAGTCTGAATCTCTCACTATCAACTAAAACTGTACAGGGACGATTATTAAATGCAAAAATATGTTTATTTGTTGTGAACTTTGTATCCTATGCATACAATAACAAAGACATCTTCAGATTTCTTCCGAAAAGTACATGTTCATATTTTATTCCAACTGCTTCTCATAGAGACAGCCAGCACATCAGTATTTACTGTAGGTGTCAGAAATGAATGTAGACGATGTGGTTTCCTACTACACCTATGACTTCAAATAAATCAGCATTTGTCCGCTGAATTTTAATGGAAAAGGGCATGTGGACAAAGGCAGTTATTTTTAACAATGTTCTCAGATGTTTTGGGCCTTAACTTTGTACACTATGTTATGAGGACCCTCAGGGCAGAGGAGTCAATGGAAGGGTTTTCTTAAACTGTTGTGTGTTCTCGTTGTGTACATTTAACAGTATTGTGGTACCGTATGTCATTGGAAATATGATGAGGGGTATATACATTGCATTCATGTACAGTCGCATTAAAACTAGAATTAGACTTGGTTGGGACATTATGGTTGGGTCAGAGGTATCAATATAGAATGATCATTTCTGTAATTAAAGACCCTTCAATATGACATGCCTTTGGTCTGAAATGTTTGTGAAAGACCTACCACACAAAAGCTTTTGGACAAAATTAAATATTGTCTTTACAGTTAATTAATTATCCAAGAGGCCTGTCTGTATTTCTCAACTGTTGTATTTATATCATAAGATGTCATAGGAACATATCTGGCATAACATTCACCCAACTGTGCCAATGTAAAATCTCTATGACTCATTTCAAATGAGTTTATCCTATTCATTGAAACAACAGTGCTAGTGTCCATTATTACTTCTCGATGATCATACTGTAACAGCGCAATAAACAATTATTATAGTCAAACCAAGAGGCTGATGTTGTGAATAGCTAATAATGTTAGGAACAGAACAGATTATAATAGATGTTGAGAGTTGTTATGTGAAGTTGAAATCTAAACAGATGATTTGGTTCGTCTGAAACAGGGCGTGTCAGATTTTTTCCCATTCCTTCTCTTTTTCTGCTGTTTGTTAGTGAACCATTTAGTTGACATGATGGTTGTCGCGTTGAAAATAATGCATCTGGTTCATGCTGACGACCGAACTCAAGCTCCAAGGCTAGCATTCCAATCAAATAAAACAAACAAGAAAATAAATGGTTAAAAAGAGAGAAAAAACTACTGAAACCTGTTTAAAACACTTAACATTTTAAAAGTACTGTGTATGTAAAAATTAATATATGAATGTGATTGAAAATAAACAAACTGAACTTGGGAATGAGTATGCTTCTTCTTTATATTGCTTTAAGTGTAAGGACAGACGCTGGGAGACGAGGAGCAAGTACAGGGAGTGAACATTTAATATAAACAGACATGAAACAAAACACGGACAGCGTCTGGACAGGGGAAACATAAAGACATTAATACTGACACCGGGATTACAACTGAGGAACAGACAGATATAGGGGAGGTAAACAGTGATGGTGTCCAGGTGAGTCCAATGAAGTGCAGATGCGCGTAACGATGGTGACAGGTGTGCGTAATGATGGGCAGCCTGGCACCCTCGAGCGCCAGGGAGGGGGAGCAAGAGCAGGCGTGACATTAAGATAATATTTCTCTGTGTGTGTGTGTGTGTGTGCACACTATTGTCATTGGCCTTACAGTGCTGCCTCCTGTCCATCTCCCAAATCTCCCTTAGAAACAGGGCGGAGTTTGCATGGCAACAAAGTTTCTCGTTGAGTTTGAGAAAAACTGGGTATGTCCCAAATAGCACCCAGGGCTGTTGCAGTGACCTTATTACCGCCACACTGTAAAATTTTATGTGAACCCTGAGTCACGTTAATCTTCTCTTATGCACTCTGGACATGCGTAAGTAGTACCCAACTCGCTAACGATCATCAGGTCGCTAATGGCCTGATTTTCAGGGCTCTATTGTCCCTCTAACCACTCTGACATCAATGCAAATGCAATCAAAACTCACATCAAAAGCAATCAAAAACCACATCACTTATCATCAAAACAGTATGTACTTTTAAAACTCACCTCACTGTGATTGATCAATCTGAAGAAAGAAGTTCAACAACTGGTTGAAACTAAGTGGAAAACATGTTTCAAAGCCTAACACAATGAAACAGCAGAAAAACATTTAAAAAAACTGATTTAAGATAATATGATTTAAGATATCTTTGGTACATAATTGGTCTAGCCTAAATTTTGAGTAGCCTAAAAATAGGGATTTGTTTATATTTTCATAATTAATAGGCTGACACATTACCTTTAGCAACAGAATATCTCACCATCTTGAGTTTCCATCTCCTCCCCTCTCTCCTTAATTCCTTTCTCCAGCGGGCAGAAAGAGGGGCTGTCAACAGTTGAATTAAATATGTTTAGTTTGTATTTGTATTTGAATTTATTATGGATCCCCATTAGCGGCTGCCAAGGCAGCAGCGTCTCTTCCTGGGGTCCAACCACAATTTACATACAATAAAACAATACATAACACAACACCTTACTACACACTACTCTACCATAACATATTTACAATATAAAATCAATAATACAGCAAAATAACAACATTAAAATGTGTGCCTGTGTGTGTGTGTCTCTTCATAGTCCACTCTGTTCCATAAAGTGTAGTTTTATCTGTTTTTTAAATCTGATTTTACTGCTTGACTGAGTTACATTATGTGGAATAGAGTTCCATGTAGTCATGGCTCTATGTAGTACTCTGTGTTTCCGTAGTCTGTTCTGGACTTGGGGATTGTGAAGAGACCTCTGGTGGCATGTCTCGTGGGGTATGCATGGGTGTCCGAGCTGTGTGCCAGCATTCCAAACAGACAGCT